ACAAGCAAAGAACAAACACTTACATACACTTTTTAGACTCCTCAGCACCATTTTGTGAGAACTTGTATGTTCCCCCCATTTAATTCTGATTTTTGTGCTTATATTTGAAAAGGTCTATGTCTAAGAGTGTGCATTCAAAATCAGGTCTTTTGACCACAAGTTGAAAATTGGGAGGTGAGGGTAAACAGTGAGATTTCTGTTTCTATATGGGCTGACAGCTGGTCTTGCTAGTTCCTCCTCCCAGATAAGACAAGGCCTAGAACTGAGTGTGTATGGGGTGCCCATCTGTGCAGTCTCGCATTATACTCTGCCTCAGAATGTATGGGCAGAAGAGTGGTGTCTTCAGAAGTAGAGGAAGCCACTTCTGCCATCCTCCAGGGCCCAGCAAGGGCCTTGGAACAGCTTGCTGGCTAGAATAGTCATCGAGGAATTACTGTTACAAAACGCCCTCACTAGGCTGCTTTTGAAGTGAAGAGGGGCTTGCTTATTTTGTTCATAGTCGGAAGGTCCAAGTCCAAGACTGAGTAGTCCCATTTCCTTGATCTCTGATGAGGATAGGGGCATAGTAACGGTGAGATGTGCTTCTTGTGGCAGGCGGCATCATGAGCTAGGAAGCAGAGGGAAGGGACCCCCCAGATATCCCACCTGCAGTAGCCTGAGGAGCCATTACTAGACCCCACATAGTATTGCCATCTTAGGGATGGATATCAGGGATGGTGGACCTACTTATTTCTGGGGAGGGGCACAGAGGACGGTGTGGCTTCTTTCATTGTCTCCACCCCTGCAGATGATCCTAAAACGTTGCCTCCTCCAGGGAGCAGGAAGTCCTTATCAGTTGGGGCTCTGGACAGCTCTCATATCACTGAGGAGCCCGAGAAACAGCAGTTACCAGTCTATGCCTGTGACAGAAACCCCTTTGATAGTGCTGCCTCTTCCTCCAAATGCCATGCTTCTTGCTTTTGGCACTGGGACTGGAAGCGCCCTCCGTGATGCCCACCCTCTGTGATGCCCACCCTCTGTGATGCCCACCCTCTGTGATACCCACCCTCTGTGATGCCCACCCTGTGATGCCCAACATCTGTGATGCCCAGAATCTGTGATGCCCAGCATCTGAGATGCCCACCCTCTGTGATGCCCACCCTCTGTGATGTCCAGCATCTGTGATGCCTAGCATCTGTGATGCCCAACATCTGTGATGCCCACCCTCTGTGATGCCCAGCATCTGTGATGCCCACCCTCTGTGATGCCCAGCATCTGAGATGCCCACCCTCTGTGATGCCTAGCATCTGTGATGCCTAGCTAGCATCTGTGATGCCCAGCATCTGTGATGCCCACCCTCTGTGATGCCCACCCTCTGTGACACCCAGCATCTGAGATGCCCAGCATCCTTTGGGTTTGGTCAGGAGAGGAGTACAGTGGTCTCCCTTCTACAGGAACACATGACTGGCCATGTTTATGTGTGAACATGTTCCCTCATCACTCCCATCTTCTCTCTTTTCCTCTTCCTCCATATATCTTTATATTTACAGCATGAAGACTGTTAAGAACATTATAGTTGAAACTTTTTCAGTGACACAAAAGATCATGCTCTACAAGAGACCATTTCCTCCTTTCCCAGCTGTGAGAAGCAGGGTACACCTACTTTGATTCCTGTTGGCTCCTTCTCAGTTCAGGGAAGGGCACACGGGTGTTGGGAATGCCTAGATCTGCACACACAGGCACACACACGTTCAGAACTTGCGTCTGTGTGCGTTAAGTAGCCTCTCACTTTTGTGTCATATGGAAACTTTATGTATTACATAGTGACGTGTTTGATTTTTTTCTTTGAATCTGGACACAGACTTCTTTCTCACTACTAAATCACTGCCTATCTGTTTCTAGAAGGCAGTCATCAGCCTCCTCCCTTAGCCTCCTGATGTCCAGGTGTGAGTGATTGTACCAGGACACCCAGGTGGACTCACTGGCTGGCAGGCTCCTCTTCCCCACCCACTCTGCTGGGTCTGATGCCTGAGATTTATTTATTTATTTATTTTATATATATACTTCTTCATTTCATCATTCCCTGAATAATATAACTATTTACACAGCATATATGTCATGTTACATACTGTTAGTATATGGAAAGATTATGCGAGTTATATGAAAATACTATGCTATTCTATTTCTGTTTAAAGCACTTGAACATTTGAGAATTCTAGTATCTCTGAGGGATGCCTGAGATTTAAATTCCTCCAGAAGCTGATCTGAGCTGAAAGAGAAATTCCTTTGTCTGGGAGTGGTAGGGAGTGCTGGGGTCTGGCTGGGGTCATCAGCAACTTGGCATGTATACACACACACACACACACACACACACACATACACACACACACACAATCCTACCTCAGCTTGCTGACCTGGAAACCTGAATTTTTGTTTTTATTTTTTTATTTTTTGGTTTTTTGAGACAGGGTTTCTCTGTGGCTTTGGAGGCTGTCCTGGAACTAGCTCTTGTAGACCAGGCTGGTTTTGAACTCACCGAGATCTGCCTGCCTTTGCCTCCCGAGTGCTGGGATTAAAGGCTGTGCCACCAATGCCCGGTTTGGAAATCTGATTTTAAAACATGAGAGGGTCAGCAACATTAGTGACACACTCCAGCCTGGATACCTTCAAACATCAAGAGTCTATTGTCTCCTAGTTCTGACTATCAGAAATCCACACTGAGGTGTTAGTGATGGTTCATCAGTTAATCAGTTAAGAGCACTCATTGTTGTGTGGGATAGGGTTTTGTGTGTGTGTGTGTGTGTGTGTGTGTGTGTGTGTGTGTGTGTGTGTGTGATCTTCATACAAGCTATGGTCATCTGGGAAGAAGGAGCCTCCACTGAGAATATGCCTCTATTAGATAGGACTGTAGGCATGTTTGTGGTGCATTTTCTTGATAAATGATTGATGTAGAGGGCCCAGCCTACCATGGGTGGTGCCACCCTGGGCAGTTGGTCCTGCCTGGGTTATGTAACAAAGCAGGTTGAACAAGCCATGGGGAACAAGTCAGTAAGAAGCTTTTCTCCATGGTCTCTCTTTCAGTTCCTGCTTCTAGGTTCCTGCCCTGATTTCTCTTCATGAAAAGTTGTAAGCTGTAAGCCTAAATAAACCCTCCGTCCTTAGTGCCTTTGGTCGTGGTCTGTATCACAGCAAAAGAAACCACAGAAACTAGGACCCTGCTCCTTCAGTGGTTAGAGTTTGGTTCACCACGTCCTCTGGTAGCTCACAACTATCTAACTCCAGCTCCCAGGGATCCAATACCCTCTTCTGGCCTCCAATGACACTCGTGTACATGCACTCGTGCACATACACATAAATAAATCACATACACATAAATGTAATAAACTTAAGAGAAAAACACAGCAAATTATCATCAGGGCCACACAGCCCCTGGAATTGAGGGGAGGGTCTTTTCTCCTCCCAACACCCACTGCTACTGTCACCCTCCTCGTTCTTTAGTTGCAGCAGGCACACCCCACTCTCAGCGGCCATTGGCCCATGAGGGGACCTCTATTTCTCGCTCTTTCTCTTTTTAGGCTTCCCTGTCTATTGCAACAAAAGTAAAATACAACAGTTTCTCCAACACAAAGCACCTAATGTCCAGCGTTAGGAAAGGAGCTGTGTAGAGACAGTATCACAACCACACACCACAGACTACTGTGCGGTCATTAAAAATGATGGATGGGGCTGGACAGATGGCTCAGTGGTCAGGAACATGTGTTTCTCTTGCCTCCAAGGACACTCACACACACAAAGTGTACCTGGTTCAGTTCCCAGAGCCCATAAGGTGGTTCACAAGGATCCTTAACTCCATTTCCAGGGATTCTGACAACTTCTGATCTCCAAGGCAAAACACTTGCACAAATAAAATAAATAAAAATGTAAAAAGGATGGGAAATGGCTGGCAGTGTGACGTAAGGCTGGAAAATGACTGAGGCTCGGGCATCACACAGAGTATATCTTGAGGGGCTATCATCACTGAGGGTTTTTTTTTTTGTTGTTTCTGTGCTTTCAACTTTTCTACAGTAAGAACTTTTGTGAATAGGAAGAAAATTAATTTTTAAAGTTAACATACAAAAGAATGTTTCATTATGACGTTTGCCTACATATGTATAATGTACTTTGCTCATACTTTCCCTCCCTCCCTCCCTCCCTTCCCTGTTTTATGATTTTAGACAGGATCTCAGTATGTATCCCTGACTATCCTGGAACTATGTAGGTCAAGCTAGACTCTAACCTAGAGAGATCCACCTGCCTCTGCCTCCTGAGTGCTGGGATTAAAGGCATATCACCATGCCCAGCCTGGTTTTCGTTCTTTTGAGACAGGGTCTTGCTACATGGCTCTGGCTGGTCTGGAATTCTCCATCCTCCTACATCAGTGTCCTGAATGTTGGGTGAATGACAGGTGTTACTATGCCCAGCTGAGTTGTCTCCCCACTGCTCTCTCTCTGTCTCTCTGTCTCTCTCACCATTCATATTGTATTAGAGTTCTCCCGTGCTCCAGTATGAATCTACCCTACTTTATATGACACCTACAATGACCTAATTTCCAATAAAATCATTTTGATGCTTAATATGTAGAACTTCTGTGTCATTCCCCCCCACCCCCACCCCAAGAGGAGCATAATTCTACCTGTAGCTTTGCACCTGCGTGCAGACTGGTTCTCATGGAACTCTGGGCTGACCAGAGGACTGCCTGAGAGAGTGAATCCTGCCAAGTAGCTGGGCAGGCCAGAGTGTTGCTTAAACCTTTTACCCCCCCCCCCCCTCATGCTGGGGCTGGAATGCAGACCAGGCCTTCTGAATGCTCAGCAGGTGCTATACCTTGGATATACCCTCAGTGCCTACTCACTCCACTTTCCCTTACCCTGATGAGATTGTAAATTTCCCAAGAGAAGACATGTTTCCCATGTGCAGCGGCAAACCAGAAGCTCCCTGACTAGGTCTGGTCTTCAGTCCCTGCCCTGCAGTTCTGGGCACTCTGAGCTTTGGAAGACTTCTTCGAATGGGTTTGTGACATTTACAAGTTGGGGAACTCCACCAGCACAGTTCTGGATGTTTGGTCTCCAGGATAAAGAAAAACACCTGCTGATGTGAGTAGCCAGCCCTCCCTGTGTTTCCCTCTTGCCCAGAGCACAGCAGGGGCTTCCCAAGGTTGGGTGGAGGCACCTCTCCCTATCCTCCCCAGCTGGGTCAGCTGCGGCTTGGCACTCAGCCAACTTCACTTGAAGCAGCTGCTACCAGAAAAAGTATTAAGGGAAAAATACTTGCTGCTGATGTGGGTGGTGACTGAAATGTGTCTGGGTTTCCCCCTGTTCTTTGAGCTCGTGTTTCTGAATCTTCCCCAGCGAGACTTCTGTCCTCACTGCTCCGCTGAGACAGTGGCAGGTTCTCAAGCGATGTCTCCTCTCTATTAGCAGCACAGACACAGTGGGTCACCTGGTGTCTTAGGCTTATTCTCGTGATGAAAACGCCATGACCAAAGCAGCTTCGGGAGGAAAGGGTTCATTTGGCTCACACTTCCACATCACAGTCCATCATCAAAGGAAGTCAGAACAGGAAGGAACTCAAGCAGGGCAGGAACCTGGATGCAGGAGACCATGGAGGGTGAGGCTTACCAGTTTGCTTCTCATTGCTCAGCCTGCCTTCTTACAGAACCCATGACCACCAGCCCAGGGATGGCACCACACAATGGCCTGGGCCCTCTCCCATCAATTACTAATTAAGAAAATGCCGTATAGTTTGATCTTTTGGAGGTATTTTCTCAATTGAGGCTCTCTCCTCTCTGATGACTCTAGCTAAGTTGGCATAAGACTAGACAGTACATCCTTTGTAATGACACTTCCTTCTAGGAATTCAGTCATACTTACAACCTCTCACTGTCCCCAACCCTTCCCTTTCTTCTGCCAGAATCAGTGGCTTGCACGGCCCAGTCTCCATGACTCCATTCTATTCTACTGTGCCAGCCCTCTCTCAGAACACCGTCTTTAATCCCGTGACTTTAAACCTCCCTGCTAACTGTTCAGGTTTTTGCCTGTGCCTGGCAATCCCCTCTGGGCTCCCATTCCTACCTGCGCCTTTGCTTAGACACAAGTATCAAAGGCCCTTAAACCTAAACTTTGAAAGCCAGCTCCTCCAAAGCTTGTTTCTCAGACATCATGCTTGTTTTTTGTTTGTTTGTTTGCTTTTGTTTTTCGAGACAGGGTTTCTCTGTATTGTTTTGGAGGCTGTCCTTGAACTTGATCTGTAGAAGACCAGGCTGACCTCCAACTCACAGAGATCCACCTGCCTCTGCCTCCGGAGTGCTGGGATTAAAGGTGTGCGCCACCATGCCCAGCTGTTTGTTTGTTTGTTTTGTTTTTGTTTTCAGACATCAAGCTAATTCTATCAGTTGTTCAGGGGGAAACACTAAGTGTACTCTTGGCGGATTTGTCCCTTCATGCACTCAGCCTCCTGCTACGTTCTTTGGAATGGTTTGTTCTTTGTCAATTTGCAGAGCTCATGGTGTCCAGGTTGTTAGATTATTAAAAAAACAAACAAACAAGAAAACAAACAAACAAACAAACAAGAAAACAGAATGGGGAGGGAGGGAGGGTGGGCGGGAGGGAGCTTAGTCTGATTTTAGGCCTGACCGTGTTTATAGTTAGAGGGCACCTTGTCACTCATGCCCTAAAGCGAAGATGGGAATATGGTCTCTTACAGGGTTGGAAATGACATCCTTGGCCTTCAAGGGAAGCCGGGAATTGAGTCTTTTAGTAGGAAACTAGCATAGGTGTTTGGCCACCAGTGTAAAGGTGGTTGTAAAGGCACTTAGGGTAAAACTTCATCTCAAGAAATTCATCTTGAGAAAAACATGATAAATCAGGCTGGGAGTACACAGCTCAATAGTAGAGAACCTGCCTGATGTTTTAAGCTAACGACACCAAGGAATGAACATTTGCTGCTATGGCCTCTGAGCACTTCCCACGCTCTAGCAACTGTGATTCTGCCACAGGGCCTTTGCTCCTGACACCACTCCCTTTGTTCTGATGACTCACCAGAGCAATTCACCAGCAGAACTGAGGTCTGCATCTCCTGGGAAGCGGGAACTTCCTAAGCAATGGGCTGTTCATTTAAGACTTGCCAAAATGTCTGTCTCAAGCAGCCGCCCCAGGACGTCCCCTAGGACAGTTGATCCGGGTCTTGATCCATCGTTTCTGGTTGTGGGGTCCCTGCATGAGAGTGGCTTTTGGATAAGTCCAAAGACAGGCTTAACCTATTCATTTGCACGCAGAGGTCAGAGCTTGACTTCTCTTCATTGTCTGGTTCATGGGGACCTCCTGGATACTTTGAATGGCTGCTTTCTGAAGAACAACTTACCCTTTCATCCGGAGTAGGTTTTGGTGAGGGGAGGGCAGGGTATACATCATGGAAAACAGACCCTTTAAACAGTTGTGCATAGACAAAGCGCCCACCATGAGGGGGCTGGGATCAAGGGACCACACCCCTGAGAGTCCTTGCCATCCCTAGCCCTCCTCTTTTCCTCTGCTTTCTACCATGGATGGCTGGTCCAGAGGGTTCTCTGTAAGAACACTTGCCTGTGTTCTGATACTGGTGGGAGGAGCTCACATGTCAAAACCATGGGACCAAGTACTAAGTGTGACATTCAGAAATGGTGTGTGTGTGTGTGTGTGTGTGTGTGTGTGTGCGCGTGCGCGCAGACTGGGCAGGTTAGATGCCCCTCTTCACTTATTTTTTTATCAAAAGAGAAAAAAATGCTTGCATTAGGGGGCTCTTACGGTCTTCAAATAGTATGTAATGAATGCTTGGCTCATGGAAAACACGCTCTGTTTGACTCACAACCAATCAGTATACAGCTTGTGAAGCTGAAGTGGTGGCCGGCTGGAGACCCTGTGTGCTGGGTGTCCTAGTGCACACTGGGGACACTCTGGATTACTCCAGACAGCCTGACTCCTGTCCTTCCCACTGCCACCCCATGTTTCCTCCTAAAATGTACACCTTACCCGGCCACTGCCCTGCCTCAAAGCCCAGCAAAACCTGAAAGCTCAGCCTGCAGAGAGCCTGAGGCACAAGCCTCTCTCTTCAGGTACCTTCTTGTCCTTGGGTGTTCCTGTAGACCTTTGCTCTGGGTAGGAAGGGGGCGGGTCAGTGCCCAGTGATCCTGTGGCTGGCTCCCTAGAGCAGTCAAGTCCCTGAGCAGTCTCAAAGGTATGCAGCCTGTTCACCCTACCTCCTGTGAGCGATCTCAAGGGAGATTTCTGAGGCTCAGCCTTGTTGTGTGGGGTGCATTCCCCGGCTCCACTGCCTGTCTGAAACAGAAAAGAGGCTGGTCCAGCAGGACCAGTTCTTCACAAATGCCTGACACCTTAAATGTTTTGGGTAGTCCGACCCTTCACCCGTAAAGCTCTTGGGAACACTGGGTGATTTCCTGGATTCTCTCCCACCGGGACTTCGGGGGTTCGAGGCTGGGAACTCAGGTGCTCAACACTGTAAGTGGGTCACTAATACTGCAGACGGTCACTCACTGGCCTGGCTTCATCAGACAGCCACTGAAGCATTTGCAGAGAGGTTTTCCTAGAGCAGGCAGGGCCAAGTTCATCAGGGAGCAAGCAAGAACAAACCCTCGATTCCCAGGATGCTCTTTGCCCTCCTCTACTCTGGCCACCCTCATAAGAACCGAACTGTATCTGGATCCTAGAATGTGAGGAATGTGCCACAGCCTGATAGGCATGAAGCAATCTGCAGAAGCAGGGAGGAGCTGCTGCTCCCCAGGCCAAGGCCTGACAGTGCAAGGACTATCTGGCCTGCAGGCTGAGTGGCCCCTCCCACCTTCCCTGGCCTCCGCACTGCAGGCCGGATATCAAAGGCTGCTTTGTATGTTGAGCAGCCTTGGTCCCTGGCATGACAGGGAGGAGGCGGGAGGAGGGACACCACCGATGGGAGGCTCCCAAGGTTCTCCTGACTGGCGTTCCCAGGGGCCTTGGCCCAGGGAGGATGATGCACACATGGGTGGCTGCTTCTGTATCCCTGGGGAGCGGAGTCTACCCTGGGGCCCAGGTGAGTTTCCTGAGGGGATCTGGCCCCGGGCTTAAGCAAGAGTTCTTTCTGGTCCAGGGAAGTTGGTGTTTTGGAGAAAGTATCCTCCCGAAGATTGGGAGGTGGCTGTACTTTCTGTCTGCCTCTCGTCCCCTTCTAGTTTGGTGTTTCCCATTCTGGGTGCAGTCTAGGAAAATTCTACTTTACCTGAGAAGCAGGCTCTGTGCTGGTTCTGTGCTCTGTGGAGCGGGAGTGAGGGCGCCGCTTTTGGCAGCTACTCTTAGTGTGTGACTAAGCCCTTCCTTCCTTTCTTCCCAAGATTCCCTAGCACAGGAAGAAGGCTCCACAGTGAGTTCCTCTGGGGGCCATGGATGCTCATAAATTTGGCCTGGGTCACTCAGCGCTATTTTCATCGGGGCTTCTGCCACCGGTGGAGGAAGTGCAGGCTGTTTCCTCCCTCTTACCTACGACGGTGGCTTTCAGCCCGTTGAATTGAGTTGAGGTCGTGGAAAGTTGTGCTGAGAGGCTGTCCAGCTATCTGGACACAAGGTGACCAGTCTTCCTGGTTTGCCTGAGACTGAGGGTTTTCCTGGGATGGGGTTAGCTCTAAAACTCAGACAGCCACAGCGAACCAGGACAGTTGGTCATACTGTTGAAGAGATCCTTCAGCTTTTCATAGCTCAGACAAAGGCAGCCCTGTGGTTTTACTGTAGGATGTCCATCCGGATGAGTGATGATTCTAGGGGAAAAGGACTAGGCTGGACTGGGGTTGGACTCACTTGGGAGATAGAAGAACATTACTCTAAGGCACCGTTCTATACCCTTACTAAGGTCTTGTATCTTCCTGGAGTGTTACCGTGGTTCTTATGAGCATCACTGTAGTTCTGGTGAGCACCACCTGGTTCTGGTGAGCACCACCTGATTCTGGTGAGCACAGCAGGGAGGTTCCCCTGCCTAAGGACTTTTCCTCTGACTGACTGCGTCCCTCTGTGGTCTTGTGACTTGGGCTCCTCAAAAGGACTTGAGATTTTTAAAGTGAACCCCAAACAAGGCAGAAGTCCTGACCTACACATTTTGACACTTACAGCAAGTACTTCTTCCTAGACAAGGGACGCTAAGAACCCCATCCAAAACCACAAGCAAACTCCGAACACCTCAAAAGGCTGTGACATATTTTGTTTCTCCAAATTTTTGGGTTTATAGCCTTTTCAAACTTTTCTTCCAAGTACCCCATGGGGACAGACATAGTGAGGGTTACTTGGGATCACAGGTCTGGAAGCCAGGGACCTGCCTCTGTTTACCTCCAGGTAGGAACATGTCTTTGTGGTCAACCACTTGGGCTTCCAGGCCTAAAGGTCTGGATTTGAGCTTAGTTCTTTTATTCATATACAGCAACTTAATTAATGCCTCTGTTTCTTTTTCTACACCCATGAATTTTATGACCCATCATGCTCTCCTCACAGGCTGTGGGGGGCTCAAGTCTACACATTCAACATAGAAAACAGTCCAGCACACAGTTAGTCATGCATAATTAGATATCAGGCCTTGTTAATGATGTTTTTGTGACCATGGCGTATCACATGCTCAGGGGGCCATGTGGTCTTCTACGAAGTCTGAGGTTGTGATCTGCTGGTGGAGGTACTCAGGGGCTCTGCCCCTGGCAAGGACCCAGCATCAGTGGGAGGAACTCAGCCGCTGTTTGACGGAGTCCCATCTGGAAGAGTTCTGTGGTGTCAAACTAGGAAACTGATACTGAAAGTGTCCTCCAAGTATCCTGACACTGTTATCCCGTAATTTTATCCTTTTGCTTTTTTCTTTCACCACAGGCACTGGGTTTCTGTTGATTCTGTCACAGTTTCCTAGCCATTTTTCCTGTGCTGTTCGCCACCCACCAGGCTTTTCCTGTGGGAAGTGGCTAGGGATGCATCTGAGGCCAGACGGTGTAAATATTTCCATCCTAGCCTCCCGGTATATCCTAGGGAAATGTCACAAAGTCTGAAACACTTCTCTGGACAACTTAACATTTGCATGACACTAGGCAAGTCTCTGGGACCTTTGACTAGCAGTTTTCTGACAGTGTGTTGCTTTGAGTGGTGGTGACATTAGATTGGACAGTTTGTCTCATAGCATGTGACTTTTGGTGATGGCCAGATATTCTACTGCTAGTTAATATGGGCCACACCTCTTCTCTAATTTGCTGTTCTCTACTGGAGGGAGGGAGGTCTGTGTTCTAGTTTCTTCGGCTGCTTCTGCTGTTGGGTCTGTTTAGGTGGGAGTTAACAGTGAGGACCAAATCATGTGTCCTCGTGTGTAGGGGAGGCAAGGGAGAAGGTTGGAGATAGTGTGCCACCCTGGGTGGCTGCCCATGTTTGTCATGGGGTAACTGGAACAGAAGCTGGCATGGGCAGCCGCAGCAAGCTCTGATCTCCTGTGCAGATCGTTCCTGCAGCTCCTCCTGCTGATGCCTCTTGCTTTCTTCAGAAATCTCCCACTAGCACACGGTGGGAGGGCAGTTCGTGGTCAGTTGCCAGGACCTCTGACTCCTCCCCTTTGGGTTTCTTGCCATTGTTAGACACCAACAAGTGCCCACTTCAGATCACAAAGGAAGCCATGTCAGAAGCGACTAGCACTTGGACGTCCCTTTGTAGAGATTTGGCAGAAATTCTTATAAAGATGATGTAGGGAAGTTTGTTTTTTTTTTTTTTTTTTTTTTTAGACACTGCCATTCTCTTTTCAGCCTTTCGGATAAGATTGACACGTTGATGTAATTATATGAGGATGGGAATGCACACAGCAATAAACAGGGCACCACTCGGAATTTAAAAGAGTGGAGAGACATTTTGAACGCAGTGGTGGTGCAGAGTGTTGGAATGATGAACCCCATCCACTTTATCATTTTGTGCCATTGCTTTCTCTTTTCGAATAAATAAAAAAGTTGCGTCTACAGTTAGGGTGGCCTGGATGGCTCTTTCCAGTCTGACTCCCGCTTCTCACTCAGCAACATTAACCACTTTTGTGAATTGTGTGAGTGTCCCCCTTTTGCACAGCCAAGCATCGTCAATCACGACAGAGAACAGTTGTCAGTTTTAGGCATAAACAAGATGCTATTGTCATGCAAATTGCTCGCTGACCCTTCTACTTTGCAGTCTGAGAGACATCCACAGAGATGGATGTAGCTAGAGTTAGAGTATGTTTTCTATCCCAGCAAGGAGATGTGGGCTTAGCTCACAAAACTGCCGATGGTGTGTTTCCAGCAAGTTTCTATGTTGGGATGCTTTCCTCATCAGAGACCTTTGACCTTAGAGTTCCCAGGTCAACTACCATAGTAGAGAAAACCAAGTCTGTCCCCAATGATTTGGATAACCTCTGACTCCTCTGTTAAGTTGCTGTGTGACCTTGGTAAAGTCACCACTCATGTCTGGGCCTAAATTTCCCAACATTTCTTTCTTTCATCCCTTTTTTTTTTTTTTTGCGATGTTTATTTCTCTCATTTATCTTCAGTATTTGGCAGGTCAGGATGCCTTCTCTTTTTCTTACTTTAAAACACGGTATGGTAGCATTTACTCTGTTCTCTGACTTTACGCTATTAAAATTACAGCCCAGTCTGCCACTCCCTCCCCTGATTTTCTAACAGCTTTGCAGCTGGCCTCTCCGTGTCTTCTGCTTCCTTCTCTGTGTCCTTCCCATGCTTCTCCTAGCAGAGCGATCATTTTTATTATGCCACTCCACTGCCAAGAATGTCCCATAGCTCCCTGCTGCTTACGTTCCCCTTCCATCACTTCTGCCTGCTACAAAGTGCTCATCTCCCCTGGTGCTGCTACCTCTACAAGCATGGCCACTTCCCTGTCCGTGTCTGCAGGTTGGCCTTTACTACTACATAGGCACACAAAGCTCATTGCTACCCTGCATGCTTACTTCCTGCAGATTAAAGGACCTCTTAGTTAGATTTGTTCTTTTTATTTTATGTGTTTTGCTTGCATGTGTGTATGTGTACCACATACATGCTTGGTGCCTGAGGAGGTCAGAAGAAGGCATTGGATCCCTTGGAACTGGACTTACAGATGGTTGTGAACCACCCCGTGGGTACTGGGAATCATACCCAGGTCCTCTGAAAGAGCAACGAGTATGTTTAACTGAGAGGCCATCTCTCCAGGGCCCCCTGGGAGGTTTCTCATGTTCTTTCTTGTGTACTTTAGGTTCCAGTTCTCTGATGACTGTATGCAGCGTTAATGTTTCTTGCTTTTTTTTTTTTTTTTTTTTTACGAGGCAGGGTTTCTCTGTATTGTTTTGGAGGCTGTTGATCCAGCCCGGCCACGAACTCACAGAGATCTGCCTGCCTCTGCCTCCCGAGTGCTGGGATTAAAGGCGTGTGCCACCACCGCCCGGCTAGCGTTAATGTTTCTTATATTCTGCCAGTTGTGCTTCACTCTTTGACTTACACCTTATTTACTTATTTATTTATTTGGTTTTTCAAGACAGGGTTTCTCTGTGGCTTTGGAGCCTGCCCTGGAACTAGCTGCTGTAGACCAGACTGGTCTCGAACTCACAAAGATCCGCCTGCCTTGGCCTCCCAAGTGCTGGGATTAAAGGTGTGTGCCACCACCGCCCGGTTTACTTACATCCTTTGATTAGTCCAAATTCTTGAATTTAATGTATTATAGTCTCTGCATTATTTTTTTGGGAGGGAAGAATAGCTCTTTTCCAACTCCGTTTAGAAAATCATTGGCTGCTGAAATTACACAGATAGTCATCTGTAGTTTCTGCAAGTTTATTTTTAGAGACATCTTTTGAAATGCCCCATCCTCCCTACCCCTGGGGCTGCCCTGTAGATCACAAAAGTCAGAATTTATGTTGATAAAGCCTGAGCATCATACATTTCTCACACCTCCTTTTCAGGCCATGCAACCTGTGTCCCACACCGGGAGCATTGCCCTGGACTTTCCTTCTAGAAGGAAGGTTCCCTTCATGGCTGCTGCTGTCAGATCTTATTTGTACAAGGACGCAGTGAGTGACTGGGTAGGCTGGGCGGTGTTGGCTGAATAGCAGGTATCTTGGAGTGGGACTGCAGGTTGTATGGGAATGAAAGCCTAAGGCTCTAAATCTTCTAGGTTCCAAAGCAAAGACAAGCAGTTTGGGGTAGATAAAACATTCTGATTTCTAAATGGTATTAAACATTTGAAACTAAAACTTTACTCTGTAGGAGAGGAAAAAGATGTTGGGGGGGGGTTTACTCTAGCCTGTGGTTAAAATTCATCATAAGGTAGGACAGCAGTCGCCATTCCATATGTTTCTTGGGCCAGGGACTGAGGCACTATTTAGAAGTGCTGGAAATGCAGAACCTCACCCAGGATTATCTGGTTAGGCACTCACTGCATTTAAGAAGCACTGATCTGCTCATGTGGTTCTCAACCCTGCCTTACACTGATATAATTGTATGGGAATTTAAAACAAAAGTAACCTTGACTGCTGTAGCTGCCCTGAAGATCACAAAAGTCAGAATTCTTGCTGATGAACCCTAAGCATCGTGTGTGTGTGTGTGTGTGTGTGTGTGTGTGTGTGTGTAAAATATTAAATCTAACCTGGATGACTCAAATATTAACAGCCAGGGTTAAGAAGTGCTGACCTGGGAAACTCCTTTCATAGCTGGAGAAATTAAAGACCCTAGAAGTGGACAGGTCAAATGCCTTGTCCAATGTCATCTGAGCAGTCCATGGAGAAGTCTCATGATTTTCAGCTGTCCCCCTCACCCACTGCTTCTGACTCCTGGGGCCTGAACTGCAGGATAATTCTCAACTCGTTGCTGCCAGGTTGCCTACTAAGTGCTCAGCTTTCAGCACTGAGCAGCTCACAGGATTTTCCGCATGAAGAGCTGGCACTTCCTTCTGCCTACTCAAGCTGAAATCCATTTCGTTCCTACTGTCCTTCAACAGTGCTAACTGCTCCCACCAGGAAGAAAGGGAAAGAGACCCCTGGGTATCAAGATGCCACCAAAGAGACCCATAGCAGAGAGGGACCAAGCCTCTTGGTAACAGTAGGGTGATTTTGACTGTTTGAGTCTTGTTGAATGCTTGGACTGTGTCATTAGACTCGGTGGGCCTGGACACCTCTGACCTAAGTTTTATAGGCAATGGTGGTAGAGACAGATTGTTAACCTTTTTTCTTAGGAGGAGGTTATACTTGCACAGTTCTGGTCCAGTGGTTTAGCTCTTGAGAATTTTTGTGGCTGAAAGGACAAAGTTCAACAGTCAAAATTAGTGTGCTAAAGATTTGTGCTCCTTTATATTTGGAGAATACAGTGAAAGAGGCCAGTTCTGGAGGGCTAACCAACTTTTTGGGTTCTCTACATAACCTGTCATGGGTTATGTAGTGTCGGTGGTATCCAAGCTGTGAGCATGATTCATGGGGTACTACAGCACACAAAAATAACTACCCTGGGCTGTATGTGGTCCAGGGGTGGTGGCTGGACACACCTTTGCATCTGTAGCAATGGGTAAATTTCTCTGCTCTTTCTACTTCTTCATGCTTTTTAGTTGCACTCTCGACTGTCTTGTCAACCTTAAGCAATCAAAATACCACAACTCAAACCTCACTCTAGTCCCCGCCCTGTGTTTCACTCTGCATTCCCCTTTTAACATTTATTTATATCGTGTGTGTGTGTGTGTGTGTGTGTGTGTGTGTGTGTGTGTGTGTGTGTGAAGAGGTCAGAGGACAAATTGCAGGGATCAGTTCTTTCCTTGGGGACTGGAATCAGGTTATCAGATTTGATGGCCTTTATCTACCTTTTTGTTGTTGTTGTTTTGTTTTTTGTTTTTCGAGACAGGGTTTCTCTGTATTGTTTTGGAGGCTGTCCTGGAACTCGTTCTGTAGACCAGGCTGGCTTTGAACTCACAGGGATCCACCCGCCTCTGCCTCCTGAGTGCTGGGATTAAAGGCGTGTGCCACCACCCCACCGCCTGGACGGCCTTTATCTACTAATCCATCTCATCAGCCTATCAGCCCACAGTCTTCCTTCTTTGAACTCTGTTATTTTGGTGCTGCTTAAGATGGAGCCCAGAACCACGTTCATGTTAGGCAAGCACTGTTCTAACAACTTCAGTCAACACCCTTTACTCCACTTCAGTAACTACAAAAACAGGAACTATTTTAAGAGCTGAGAGAGATTTTAGACAGGACCCTGTTTGTGGGCAGATAGATGGACAGCATGGGGGCATTACAACTGTTCCTCAGCCATCCTTCTAATGATATCATCCTTTCTCATTTAGTGACCTAGACCTTGCTGCTGTTAGAACCAGAATGATCTGTGTAGGCTCCGAGTACCTGGAGCATCTTCAGTGTACTACACCCTGGAGCTTGGTTTGATCTGTGGGTGGGAATATTTAATGAAATGGGTACACCCAGGCTCCTGCAGTACTGAGATAGCATACATGACAGTTCTTTGATAACAGCTGGATACAAAGTGGTTATAAGTCAATGGTGACAGTAATTCTTTCAAGCTCCTAGTCTTGGGAAAACCACTGGCACTTGGTAGGAACTTGCAGTCCATACTTATGACTTGTGTATACTCTAACAAATGGTCTTTTGCTTTATTTTCTTCAGGTAAAGAAGGTCCTTCCAAGGATCTACCCAGATCAAGTGAGGACACATCCTCACTTGAAAACAGGAGAAAATGTTTCCTGCCACAGAATATGACTCAAGGTATCTAAATCACAAAGAAAACACCTTCTGGGTAGAGTATCTCAGAAGCTTCCTCATCTCTCCATCTGCAGACCCTCACCTCATCCCCCTGTTTCTTGTTACCTCCAAGTGCACCTTTGCAAGTGTGTCTGTCATGTTGTCACACTCACAAACCTTCCAGACTGTTAGTCAAAACTCTTGAGAATCTAGTAAGTATCAGGAAATCCATATATAAATTCTGGGTTAAAGAAACATATTATTGATAATTTTTAAGGTGAAGGGTTAAATTTTAAAAAGTGTGAATTCAACATGGTACCTTAAAGAGTTGTTTGTGTGCAGTTGTGTCCAGAAAATGTGTGACAAAGACACAGATGGAGGAATGACTATGTGGAGGACCCCCTTTCTATTCCATATAACACCACAGTCTCTTCATATTCTAGGCTCTGAGTAAATATTTCTTAAACAAGCAAATAGTAAAACAAAGACTTGAGAATGGCTGGGTAGAAGTATCTGAATGAATACTTTAGATGCAGAAGATGATTTAGAAATCAGTGTGATGGAAGATGTTCAATTTCATTAATATCTCATAAGGTCCTCTGCTGTGAGACTTTAGTAGAACTCACAAAGAAGGAATTCCCATGGAAAATGTTATCATTGAGGCGAACCTTACCGCAGAAACCATGAGACAGACATAGGAGATGTAGTTTTTATAGCATAACTTCTGGCATGCAGTAGTGGGGACCATTTTTCTTTTTTTTAAAGTTTTTATTCAGTTTTTTGAGATGGTCTCAGTATGTAGCTGTGAGTGTCCTGAAACTTGCTATGTAGATCAGGATGGCCTCTAACTCACCAAGATCCACCTGCCTCTACCTTCCTAGTGCTGAGATTAAAGGCATGCTCCACCAGGCCTTTAGAGGGACCATTTTGAGAGCAGATCCTGTGTGAGGAGGTCTGTTACACGGTCCTCTTTTTATACAATCGTCTCTGTATGGCAACACCCAAATCCCTACCTATCAGATGGGAAGGTGGGAAGCAGAGCCTGAGAAGGGACAGTGACTTGACTGTCACATACTCTGTGATGAGGAAGAGGCTTGAACCTTTGTTGTATTAGTCTCTTTAGAGAAAGGGACAGAACTGATAGGATGTATAAAGGGGACCCATTAGAGTATCTTATAGGCTGTGACCCAGCTAGTTCACAGCTGTCTGTCAACAAAAAGTCAAAGAATCGAGTAGCTGTTCAGTCCCTGAGGCTGAATGTCTTAGCTTGTCTGCAGTGTCCCGGGAAGTAGGCTCTAATGCCACTGAAGGGAGTGGGAGGGCCAGAAGGCAGAGAGCTAAGCTTTCTTCTTACATGTCCTTGTATAGGATGCTACCAGAAGGTGGGGCCCAGATTTAAGGTGGATTTTCCCACCTCAAAAGATCCAGATTAAAGGTGGGCCTTCCCATGTCAGGATTTAATGAAGAAACATTCCTCACGGGTGTACCTAGATGCTTGGGTTTTAGTTAATTACAGATGCAGTCGAGATGACAACAAAGAAAAGCCACCACACTTGTCTTGTTTGTGACCATCATGGTCCAAACTCTTCCAAAAATATACCTTTCCTTGTGACACAAGATCTGTGAAAGAGTTACATTTTGAATATTTTTTAAGGATATGAATGGTGTTACTAGATATTGCATACTTATCAAATCAGGCTCTGTCTAGTTCCCATTGGAAATTATGTTGAAATGCTAGTTTCTAATTTAAAACATTTTTAGCACATTTACTCGTGGGTGTGTTTGTACATCAGGATTCGGTAATTGGTTCTTCCCTTCCACTGTGTGTCTCAGGATCAAACTCAGGTCATCAGGCTTAACAAGTATCTTATCCACTGAGCCATCTCAGCGGTAATGAGAAGAGTTTTGCTCTTGGGTCACCTGCTTGACATATATAAGCTTGGGTCACCCCAGGAAACCCTTTAGTTGTCATCTGCTCTTTTCCAGAACCTCACTGGAGTCAGCATTTTGACTTGTCAGTGCTTGAAGGCTGAAACAAAGGGTACCATTAGATGAAATGGAATCTACAGGCCGAGCTTGCAGGAAGGCCATGGTGTGGAAGTGGGAGACTTGGTACTAGCTACCAACCTTACTCTATGCAGGCCAGTTCCAGACACATTATCCTGGTTAGTGGTCTGGCTTCCAGGAAGATTAAAATAGGACACAACATGCTTCGGCCTGGGCTAGAGTAAACTGGACTTACTGCCCCGTGTGGTGATTTGGGGTACTACAGGATCCCACCTGCACAGAGGTTCTGCTCTCAGCATCAACTAAGATCTTACTCAAACCCCAGGGTGTCTCCACTTTCGTATACATGGGTTCACACATCACAAGGAGGGTCACACTGAGGGGTACCACCAGTGAGCAGCATTAATTTTGAAGAGATCCCAAGAGGTAGTTTGCATCAGGTTTTGGAAGGCAGGAGAGATGGAGTTTGGCAGAACAGAGGCTGTTTGTCAAGGTTAATAGTATCAGCAGACAAGGACATTGGTGAGCAGGGATTGCTGGGGTGTTGGGACTGGAGGATGGGCCAGAAGCTTCACATGCATTGAACATTTAATATGGGCCAGGAACTAAGAAAAGATAGATGCATAACTCATTGGAAAGGTCCCTTTCAAACCCTGTGATGGGCCTTATCAAGAACGTTTGTGTGTGTGTGTGTGTGTGTGTGTGTGTGTGTGTGTGTGTGTGTGTGTGTGTGTGTGTGTGTGTGTTTTTCCTAACAGGAAAATCAAGTACACAGAGGTGGTTAACTGTTCAGGGCGACACAGTTATTGAGGGCAGAGCTAATCCCTGACCCTGAAGTTGTGAGAATCCTCCCTTGGCTTCTTATCTGTGCCATCACTCACCCTGGAGGTTAGCATGGAGTAAGGCGTCGGATGGAGGCTGAGGAGAATGGCCAGATGTGGAGGAAGGGTTGGGTGGACTGGAGGGAACACAGACCAGAGAGGATCTGAGCAGAAGAACAACTTCTTTTTTTTAATATAATTTTATTTAAATTAGAAACAAGCTTGCTTCCCATGTCAATCCCAGCTCCCTCTCCCTCCCCTCCTCCCTTGCCCCTTCACCAGCCCCCCAGTCCTCCACCCAATCCCCACACCGTTCCCCAGGGAGGGTGAAGCCCTCCGTGGGGGAATCTCTAGAGTCTGTCATTTCATCCAAGGCAGAGCCTAGGTCCTCCCCCATGTCCAGGCTGGGAGAGCATCTCTTCATGTGGAATGGGCTCCCAAAGTACATTCATACGGCATGGTAAATACTGATCTACTCCCCAAGGCCCCGGAGATTGCCGAGGCCTCCTCACTGACACCACATTCAGGGGGTCTGGATCAGTCCCATGGTGGTCTCTCAGCCATCAGTCTGGGGTCCAAGAGCTCCCCCTTGTTCAGGTTAGCTGTCTCTGTGGAAGAACCGCTTCTTAACTGGATGTAGGCCATTTGAACATGTTCAGGAGCTGACTGCAGCCACAGACAGCCCTTTTAGCACCTCTAGGTGAAAACGGGCCATTCCCACAGGGGAGTTCAGGCTGCCCTGTGGACTTCACCTGCAGTGGGTTAAGTCACGTTGGGATGGGGAGAGGTTTCTGTGACTCCAGCCCACTGCTTCTGTTTCTCATCTTAGATTTTTATTAACAAAATTGTCGCATAATATCTGAAGAAGACATTTCCAAAAGGACAATTTCTGCATCAGAGGGACATCCTGGGCGGCCTCTTCTAACAGCCCCAGATGCATATCCAACTGTATATACTGGTTTCTTGATCCCAATGTGCTTTCTTCTCTCTATAGATCTTTTCTCCATGGAAAGAAATGCTTGGCAGGCCAGTCCTCTCCAGGCATCACTCATGGGACAGGGGCTAACCTTACTCTTGTCGTTTGGGGCATCTAAACAGACTCCCAGGAGGCTTCAAGGAGTGTTTATTAAATGAAAGTGAAGTAAAAGATTGATTATTACTATCTGCCCAGGTTATCATGAGAAATGTTAGTCCTGGAGCATGAGAAACTGGTTGGGAAACTGTGTGCAAATAGCTCATAAGATAATGTATATTACCTGCTGCAAATTTGTGTGCGGGGGTGGAGAGATGGTTCAGTGGTTAAGAGCACTGACTGCTCTTCTAGAGAACTTGGGTCCAACTCCTGTGTGCACCCTTGTGGCAGCTCACAACTCTCTGTACCTCCAAGATCTGACACCCTCACACAGACCCATGCAGGAAAAACACCAATCCACATAAGATAAAAACAAGTAACTTTTTTTTATATTTCATTTTCCAGTTTAAATTTAGATAAGAAACGAGGTTGCTTCACAAGTCAGTTCCAGGTCCCTCTCCCATTCCTTCCCCTCCTCCCGTGCCCTCCCCCCAACCCCCCCCAATATCCCCTCATTCCCCCAGGGAGGGTGAGGCCCTCCATGGGGGTGTCCATAGTCTGTCATTTCATATAGGGCATGGCCTAGACCCTTCCCCAAGAGTTCAGGATGAGAGTGCACCTCACATTGTTCTATGGGAGTCCAAAGTCTGTGTGTATACTTGGGATGGGTACTGATCTGTTGCCCAAGGCTCAATAGATTCCCTAGGCCTCCTCACTGACACCCAGATTCAGGGGGTCTTGATCAGTCCCATGCTGGATTCCCAGGCTGCTGCCTGGGATTCAAGAGTTAACCTTTGTCTGGTCAGCTGTTTCTGGGAAAAACAAGTAACTTTTTAAAAAGGAAGTGTGTTTAGTAAAAATAAATTTGTGTATAAATGCATTCCCTTCAGTTTGGATAATGTAGTTTTCCTTTTGAACGTTCGCACATCTGCTGGAAGCAATGTCTGACCTGGGTGCTCACCTGAGCCCAAGTGGCCACTGTGCACCTCTGCAAGAGCCCGGCTGGCCTTCAGTGTCTTTCCCTGTCCCCAGAGAGAACACTTGAACGGGAACTTGGAGGATCTTTTAGCCTGCTCTGACCTGCTGTCAGTGGAGGACACCAATCTCAGGCTTGTGGGGGGAAATTTTCCCCTGGCTCTTTCTTTTCTTTCACTGTGTGTCCAGCGTTTCATCCCGGTTCTCTTTCAGACCTGGCGCTCTCATTCTGTGTGAAGAGTCGCTCCAGGAGGTGTGTCAATGCGCTCTTACAGGAAGTGGCACGGAGGCGGCTCTGGGCCCTGGAGAATGAGAACCATGAAGTCTGTGCGCTGTTCAAGGTGAGCTGGGTGGCTGGCTCTCACATCTCAGGTCCATAATAGCAAGGACTGTGTCTGGAACAAAGTAAGGCCCCAAGAAAGCAGCTGGCTGTCTAACAGGAATGAGTGGCCTAAGCCAGAGGAAGCCCCCTCCCCGGCCCCGAGTTTGGGCAAGATCCTTGCACTAACAGAGAAGGAGTATGTTTACAGCAACTGCCTCAGAAGTGTACCGGCTCCGCCCAAGGTGCTCATTTGAATTTTGTTTTGTCACTAAGATCCAACACTCATATATCTTCCCTTTGTGATTTAAACACACAGTTCCCTTATATGTTTGTCTCCAGAACATTCTATCCCCATCACTCCAAGTTCAATCTTTGTGCCACCAACAACTGTCCATTTTCTTCTTGTCCTCGAGTCCTGGTGAACATTGAGTACATTTTCTTTCCTGAGACAGGGTTCCTCTGTGTAGCCCTGGCTGTCCCGGTTTGCACTCTGTAGACTAGAGTGGCCTCAAACTCACAGAGATCCATTTAAGGTGTAACACCACTTCCCGACAAGCACATATTTTAAACTAATAATATTGCCAATGGAAAAACCGTAACTATAAATGTTAGGATGAGAAGAACAATGCAGTAAATTAGGAGAAATTTTTTTTCATAGTAGATGGATGTTTAATGCTTAAACTGTTTAATGGTCAGAGACTGAGAGTCAGAAATAGAGTTTGTTGCTGTCAGTGGTGGGGAGAGAAAGCATTGCTTTACACGACAAACCCATCTGTCTAATTATTTTCATTTCCTCCTTAATCTGGCACATCTTGAAAGGAGAAAAGCGCTGTGGCTACCGTGTAACAGAGCGACAGTGGCTGGCTTTTAGGAGAAACCAAGTCTACACCTGGAGAGAGCTTATGTACATGGATAGTGGTATTCACTCCACAATTAACAGCTAAAAGTTAAAAAGCAAACATGTGTGTTTCTGTGTATGACTGCGGTGTGTATGTGCATGTGTGTAGATGCAAATGCCCCACACAGGCCACCATGCTTGTGCGTTCAAGGAGGCTGGAGGGGGGACATTAGGTATCCTGCTCTGTGACTTTCCACTTTATTCCTTTGAGAGGGAGTTTTCACTCACACTGGAGTTAGACTGATGGCCAACAAACCACAGAGTTCCTCCAGTCTCTGCCCCCAACTCAGTACCAGGATTGCAGGTGCAGGGGCTACGCCTGGCTTTTCTTACACGGGTGCTGGGTAACGAGCCATTCCTCTAGCCCCAGGCTTCTAAATTTTATTCTGTTTTAATCTCTGGGATTCGGGAAGTAAAGATACCAGTTGCTGATGGTTTTGATGAATTTCATTTTGATTCAAGTCATCTTTGCTGTGGACAGGAACAGGGTTTGATGGCAAGAGCTGTCCGTTAGGTCACGGCTTGAGCTAAGTGTGTATAGGGGTGAAAGCTGAGGCTGGAAGTTGGCTATATCCAAGAGCCAGTCGGGGCTCTACAGCTTGCTCACTGCGGGTGACCCTGGGCCAGTTACTTCACCTCTCCGTGTCCTCTTCTCTTTGTTAATAAAATGGGGGTGCTGTTAACTTCAGGAAACTATTAATCATAACACCCATCCTTATTTAGTGTATATCTTAGAGAAAGTATACCTTATCTGTTAAGATGTGATTAGTTGTCTTAGAGTGGATTAAATATTAAATACCATCATTGCACTCTTTTCAGTTGTTTATTGTGGAAGCTGAATGAAGTGTTGCTCATAAAGATTTGCCTTGCAAAAGTCTGACATATATATTTATACATTTATATACATACATTCAACATACATACATTCAACATACATACATACATACATGCATACATGCATACATGCATACACACATACATACATACAACATACATGCATACATACATACAACATACATACATAATACAACATACATACACACATACATACATACGTACATACATGCATACATACATACATGCATGCATACATACATGCATACATACATGCATACATACATACATGCATGCATACATGCATGCATTCATACATACACACATACATACATCCGGCAGCCTTGCTTGCTCACAGTTCCGCACCACACCCACTCAGGATCTGGGGTCTCTGAGTCTCTGGTGCTGAGGGATGCAGATGATGCAGATTCTGACTTTTCTGGGCTTGGGGCCCTTCTTTGGGATCCTCTTCCCATTGGACTCCCTGGTGACCGGGTCTAGCAGTTGCTCTCGATGGCATTTCTTGGCCCTTGGGTGGGATGTTCAGGCCCTGACTCTGAGAAACCAACAGAGAAAGACTGAGGGGAACAGGTCTCGCTGGCTTCAAGCTTACTTTGGTCCCATGTTAGACAGCAAGACTCTCACAGGCCTCTTCTTGCTCTACTTACGAAAACAAACTGGCAAATATTTTTGGAGGTTGTTGGTTGGCTGCACTTTTGAATAGAAGATGCATATATTCTCCACTGGCAACTGTGTTTCTTAGAATCATGTGTTCCCAAACAAGCAAGGGTGTGCATAAAAGATTTATCTATCGAGGTAGCTATTCCAGTGCTGTTTAGGGCATTACGATTGTAAAATAACCCAAGTGTGGAAGGATGGCATTCATAACCATTAAACATAATGTAGGTCACTCGCTGATGAGAGAGATGTTTTACAACACACTAGGCAGCAACCACCCGTCTGCTGTTGACTAATCTGGGTCCTCATGAGATCTTCTTAAAGGACTCTGTCACCACAGGATCTCTTGTTGCTCTTGTTCAGGACCTCTCTGCAAGGCTGGTGAGCATCCAGTCCCAGAAGGACCAGTTCCTCATCACCTTCAAGACTGTGGAAGAAATCTGGAAGTTTTCCACCTACCTGAACTTAGGTATGCCCTGGGAAGGTAGAGGAGAATGTGTTTCTCTATCTGGCCGGCATTGGGAGCCTGGGAATTGGTTTGTCTCTGATAGTTAAAAGAGATGCAGCCCTGAAATGGATGGTTAGCCTTTTGAAATATCATAAACCCTCTAAAGCTAATTCTAAACTAAATATTAACTATTACTCTAAAATGTCATGTGAAGAAACTCTTTTCTCTATGTCCAGGGAGACTTTATTTTGCAGTGAGATAGATGTCGAGTTCATTCAGAAAAAGACCGGTATTTCTGAGGAAGAGTGAGAAGCTGCTAAAATACTAATGCTTGAAGATGCTTTGTCCCTTGTGTTTGTAAAAGAGTCAGAGAAAGAGATGGGAGACCTCGCTGGGAAGTAGCTCCAGTCTTCAGGGTTTTCTAGAAAGTCACAGATAGATGTCAGGGCATAGTGACATTTCCGTTGGAGTGGGCACTGTTTCATCCTCTGTTCCAGGATAAAAACCTTCTGGCGGGAACTGATGTTTTCAAAGCCAAGTCACCTAATTTGATGGGCATTTGCTGCATTACAGAAAACACTGAGTTCCCTGTGGTTGTGCCCAAAGAGCAATGCTGAGCTGGCCTGAGGATCAGAGTGACCCTTGGCTGGAGGGAGAAACTTCTCTTATGTTCATGGTGATTTCCTGCTCTCTGTGACATATTTCTTGTGACCATCACAGATGATCAGTTTTGCTCTGTGGATCAGTTTGTTTGCTCCCTGGGGAATGCTAGTGTTACAGACTCAGAAACCCAGGCTAGCTCAGACCTGCCAACTAGCCTCTGCATTTTCCTAAGACTCTTAGGTGTGAACTTCCAAGTTTAAGAAGACTTTTGTAGTAGACTGTGAGGGTGGAGAACGACAGGTTATCACATTATAGGAATAGTTAAGACGTCCCAAAACAAGCAAAATTTCTATACAAGCAATTCATGTTTAGACATATAATAGTGATCTTTTCTTTACAATTTGCATAGTTTTAAGTTTTCTTCCCTCCACCCACCCCACTCTCTTCAATTCTGAGAGTCAAGCCTAAGCACTGCCCTGCTAGGCAAGCACTGTAACCACTGTCCCATATCCAGCCATTTCAGCTTGGCAGAGCATCCTAGGCTGTGGGAGAGGCCCGGGTCAGACTGCGTGGTGGAATGGGATTCTGACTCTATGGACTGTCGCAGCCTCCTCAGCCTCCAAAGCATCAGGGTACAGAAATTTGAGTTTCAGGTTAGAACTTGAGGGGGATGCCAGGAATCCTCAGAGTCAACACAGCAAACTGGAAGACCCCCATAGTACTAGGAAAAATAGCTGAGGGCCGATGAAATGGCTCAGGGGTGAAGGCACTTGCCACCAACTCTGGTGACCCGAGTTCCATCTCAGAAACCCACACGGTGGAGGAAAACTGACTCTTGCAAGTTGTCTTTTGGCCTCCAGTCATGCACTGTGGTATACATTTGTATTTGTTCTCCCCACAACACACACACACACACACACACACACACACACACACACAGAGAGAGAGAGAGAGAGAGAGAGAGAGAGAGAGAGAGAGAGAGAAAGAGAGAGAGAGAGAGATGAGTACACACACAGAGTAAACGAATAAATGTAAAAAGATTAGAGAAATAAATCTACACTTATGGAGACCACAAAGACAAATATGCTGAGAATGGTAAACATGACTTAGACTCAACTTGTATTTCCTAGCGAATGTTGAGAAGAATCAGTTCTTCTAGTGTCGAGTCAGCATTCTGCTCCATTTAAATGGTGGTTCTGGGTATGAAGGCAGGATGGAACCTGCTTTCTCTATTCTGGTCGCTCAGAGCTGAACTCATCTTGTTCAGCTGTGTTGGTTTGACCTCTAGGCTATGTGTCCACATGTCTGGAACAGCTCCTCTTTGACCACAAGTACTGGCTCAACTGCAGACTGGTAGATGACACGGAGATCCAAGTGTCTGTAGATGACAATCACTTGGAAAACATACACCTGGGCCTCCTGCTGCAGGAAGGTAAGTCTGGCATGGGATTTGGGATGGGAGCCTCATTGAGATACTTGCTATTGGAGTCCCTCAGATAACTGAGATACTAAGAGAGGCAAAAAAAATCCTTGAAAGATGCAAACATGCATTAGTGAACCTATCTGTTGTAACAAAACTTCAAACATCCTAGTCCTGAAGTCACACAAACAACTGTGTTAGTTGCTCTCACTGATTCATGTTCAGGCTGATTGGAGGTTTTGGAGGGTGAGGTTGGGGGGTTGCCAGGCTCTACCCAGGCTGGTAGAGTCCTTGGGGTTGGGGTCTTGGCACTGCATTTTAAGAATGAAGTTTCCCATGTAATAGTCTCCAGGATTGAGAGATGTTCTGTGAACACATGGTGTAATTTGGTTGTAAAATAAAATTATAAATCTTAGAAAACCTGAACTATTTCATGAAATTCAATAACAGAATGCTAAAGAACCAGTGGAAGTACCTAGTCTGACCTTTTCACAAGGGCAGATGCCATCAGCCTGGCAGTTGGTCAAGTCTGATCACTTAGTACGCATTGAAAGCCAGATTGGCCTGAGACAGTTTTAGAAGTGATTTTCCTTCCAATTCCATTGCACAGTTCCTAGGACAGAGTCCATGTACCATTGCAAAGCTGGTTTGGAGCCATTGCATCCGTGTAAAACAACTTCCTTTTCTCTTCATGGCTCAGAATGAAGCACAGGGTTGCAAAGACAGTCAGTGTTTAGTAAATGCATGTTTTCTCAAGGGGGGCTGTGTTTCATCTCTCTCTCTCTCTCTGTCTCTCTCTCTCTGTCTCTCTCTGAGGTAAAGTCCAATTAAGCCTTATTCTTCCCAGTTACTCAGATCTGTTAGTATCAATTTTAAGGGAATTCCCTGTCAGTGACTTTTCTTACATCCTGGGATCGTAGCACAAGGTTCTTGTGCCTCGTCCTGGACAGTGGACTTTTAGGAGGAAGAAAGTTGTCTGGGCTCTGCATCTAAGTGGTACCGAATTGGAGATTCTCTCCCATTTCCGGCTACTCCTTGGAAGGCTTCTCTCATTCTCCACAGGCCACTTCCTCTGCAGAGCCACACACTCCGTGGCTCAGCCAGATGAGAAGGAAGGGGAATACTTGACACTGTGCAAGAATGAGCTAATCTCCGTGCTCCCTGAAGGCGAATCTGAGTGGGAAGGCGTGTCCTTAGTGACGGGTCAGAGGGGCCTGGTGCCTGTGTCAGCCCTGGAGCCCCTGTCTGTCCCTTTCCATCAGTGAGTAGCTGCCCACTCCCTGGGGGAGGGCCCCAGAGCTGACTAAGTTTGTTCAGAATAGAATAGATATCCTTTTAGATATGGTATTCCTGGTGCCTGAAAGAGGACAAAATTGAGGTGGCTTTTAAAGATTTACTTATTTATATTTTATGTATGAGGGCTCTGCATGTATATCTTTGTGCAGATCCCATTAGATCAGATCCCATTAGAGATGGTTGTGAGCCACCATGTGGTTGCTGGGAATTGAACTCGGGACCTCTGGAAGAACAGCTATTGTTCTTAACTGCTGAACCATCTCTTCAGCAAATGGGGTCACTTTTTGTTGTTGTTGCTGTTTTTGTTTTTCAAGACAGGGTTTCTCTGTACTGTTTTGGAAGCTGTCCTGGAACTCTCTCTGTAAACCAGGCTGGCCTCGAACTCATAGAGATCCACCTGCCTCTGCCTCCCAAGTGCTGGGATTAAAGGCATGAGCCACCAATGCCTATCTTAGAGTCACGTTTTAATCTCCTATTTTTTAGTGGTATTATTTGGTGAAAGTGGAAAAGTCTCTAAGTTTTAGATGGACATAGTATATACGATGAAACATATGACTTCCATTGCAGTGCTTTTCAATGTATGGACTGGGACCACTTGTGTCACCTGAGGGGTACCTGAGGGTGTCACTATGAATTCAGCCCCCTAGCCCTCCTCTCAATCTCTTGGTGTTGGGCCCAGAAACTTCCATTTTCAACTAGCCCCTCAAGCATGTTCTTCACACTGAAGACTCTCTACCGGAGGATGGATGCTGTAAACTTGAGCGCATAGGGTGACAACATCATCTCACGTCTTATTCATTCTGCCTGGTCCTGGCAGAATTGACAGTGAGACCATTGTTGTATGTGAGTTATTTAACTGGCAGCAGTATTGCAGAGCTAGGAAACATCCCAAACTTTCACAGTGTAAAGTAGATTCTCAGTTTGCTGTCATTAGAGTAAGATGAACAATAATGCTGGCGTTGTTTTTGTATGGGACTATTCTGCTCATTGTTCTAATGTTTTAAAACTCCGTGTTTCCTCTGGCAGATGGTTCCTAAAGAATTTCCCAGGAATCTGTGGACTTCCCAGGAAGAGAGACTGGACAGGCTCCTGTCAGATTGGTATGAGTTGTAAACAGCATTGTCAGGAAGACGATTTTATCTGTCTCCCAATCTTACTGAAGGATGTGGGAAGCCAGTTACTGTCTGCACACTTGGGGGCTTTGCCTGTGAAGCGAATGTTCAGGCCACATATGTGGAGAGGGGTGTTAGAGAGTGAGAGAGATTTAAAGATAAACCGGTAGAAAAAAATCTTGCATGGGCCAAATGAAACACTTTTGAGTTAAATGTGACCTGCAGGCCACCCGTTTCCAACTCCTTATCCAAACATTTCCTGGCTTTCCATAGAGCAATGTGATTGAGGGGGATTGTAAATGCCTAGTATATAGTGAGTACCCAGGAAACACTGGATGAATAAACAATGGACTATGCACACACTTACCTGTGTTCACACATATACACACACACCACACACACCACACATACATCAGCTAGTCTCTGTGTACACACACATTGCTAAGTATGTGTTTACTAGATAACAACATATCTAAAACACACCACTGAAACTTTACCCTGTGCCTCTCTATTCTAGCACACTTCCTATCACATCTCTAGGTTTTTTAAAAAAAATACAGCTTCACTAATTCCAAACCCAGATAACACTTAAAATAACTAGGAGGATTTACAGAATCAAAATATTAGAACGATGCAATAACTGACCATAAACAAGGCTGTTAGCATTTTGGAGAAACATAACCTATGCACAATCAGAACTATGGGGCTTTGGAGTCTGTTGTGATTCACACAACCTCACAGGAGCACTCCCTGCCTTCACTATGCTTCCACCTTCTCAATAAAGAAGTGTAATCAAGCCAAACACAGTTACAGAACTAAGTAGATGCACAGGAGAGGTGAGCAGTAGCAGGGAAGCCTTCTGTAGAAGGAATTCTTCTGGGTACCCTGCCTGGCATTCAGTCCGCAGGAAGACCTGAGAATGGAAATGTGCTTTGTAAACTAGACAGTGACAGTGCAATCCTCACAAAAACACTGTTATTGGATCCTAGGTGAGTCATTCATCAAACTGAGTAATTACTATAGCTTTTGGGATAGTCCCAGATCCCTCTGGCTTCCTTGCAGCACGCTGTCTTAGCAGCGATTGTACAGCAGCATGTTCTGAGAGGTGGTTAGGTACCAGACATGATGCACTTTGCTTTTGACTGTTTAGAAGCATCAGGAATCACCGTGGCTGAAGTAGCTGGAAGGAGGTGTGAGCATCTTCTTCTGTGAAGATACTCATATATAGCTCTGAGGTCTTGTGCCAAGCATGGTAATGATATGCACGATGGTAGAATCAGTTGAGGACAGCCCAAGGAACTTCCAGTTTCCTATAAGCTTACCTAGTTTAAAGGCATGCATATTCTGTATTCTGAGACTACCTTTCTTATACTTGGGGCTTTTCTTTTTAAAACATGATAGTGAAAGCATCTAGATTGTAGTTCCTTTTTGGATTGTCCTAATTTGGCAAAATGAATAGCCTACTCTCCCTGGTCATTCCTACCTGTTTGATTTTGGTGTGTGTGTGATCTAACTAAATTACTGAAATTTCTAAGGCTGGGATGCTCTAGTCTGTATCACACTGATAGACAGGGAAGGTTCATTCCCTTATGTCTTTCCATTTGATCTGTGTGTTGTTTTCCACAGGCAAAGGACGGTGCAAGGCCCTGATGGATTACCAACAGGAGGAAAAGGATGAACTGAGCTTTGTCCAGGGAGAAAACATTGAAATTCTTGGCTTTGTTATACCTGGGCTGCAGTGGTTCATTGGGAAGTCAGTGAGCTCAGGAGAAGTGGGCTTCGTCCCCACCAGAAGCATAGATGCTGATTCCTGCTCCCCAGTGTGAGTATGTTTGGGGGCCCAGTTTCCTTCCCCAGTACTACCTTACCTATGAGCAGCTTTGCAGAGCCAGAGGGGCTCATTCTGGCATCCGTGGTGGACATGGAAAGTTCTAGGAAGGAGGAATGATCAGGAAAAAAAATCTCCATTAATTTCAATAGATGCTCTTTGAAGCCTCTCTGTGTTCAAATGGAGAAGCAGAACCTCAAGACCTAAGACTCTGTACCAAGGGTACAGTGTAAGGGTTTGGATACCATCACTCACCAAGTCCAATCACAAGACCCCATCAAAGAGTAAACATTGACAGAGTGGCAGATTACTGGATGACTTTCTCTCCTTGTCAGTCAGGGAGGTTAAAACTTGAATGTGTGAAGTCCACACTGGCAAGGAGAACCAGAGGCACCTTCTCTTTCTCTATGTCTTGGTTCTGGAAGGACTGGTTCGGATGAGCAGACCTACCTATCTGATCAGTTAGCAATTTTCATGGGAAGGGCAGAGATAGACAGTATCATCCAGTCTATTTGGGTTGGCTTCCCAAGGTAATAGAAGCAAAAAGTTGGACTCAGGCAAGTATAAAGTGAAAGATAAAACTGCCTCCACACATGAAGACACTGGGGCCCTAGTTTTCTGCAGTGCGGAAAGGAATAGCTAAGGCTACATGAGGAATGTTTACGGTTACATAAGGAATATCTATTGCTACCTAAGAAATAGATAGCCACAGTTCTATAAGGAATATCTAAGACTATATAAGGGATGTCTACTGCTTACAGCATTTATACCAGGATTTTCTTTCTCATGAAAAGAATCAACAAAACGAGTAGTCTAAGGGCAGAAACTCCCTCTGTTCTGTCCTTTCCAGGGAGAGGAGAGAGGCCATTTTTCTATGAAGAAGTGTGAAATCTGAATCCTTGAACATGGAAGGCACGCCTTGCAGCCTTGGGAGGGGTGGAGGACAGCAGGATTTATAAAGTGGACAAGGCTACCAACAGAACTCTCAGGAGAGGGAGTTAGCAGGGAAAATGGGAAGGGCAGGAGGCAGGGGATGTGGGAGGGAGGAAAGGGAAGGATGAAATGATGTTAGTATATTTTAATTAAAATAAAAATAGAAAACATACAAAGAAGGCACAGCAGAGAGAGAGAGAGGGAGAGAGAGAGAGAGGGAGAGAGAGAGAGACCAGGAACTACTACGAGAAAGGCAACCTTTGTGTTAAGCTTTGCTGCATGGGAAAGCAAGCCATCCTCTTGGGGACAGGTTACCTGGAGAGTGTTGGTGTAGCCAAGACCTGCGGCCTTCCCTGAGACAGAAGGTGGGGAGACTACGCAGGTGTGCCCTTTGCCTTACAGAGGATGGTGAATGTCTGAATGTCTGCAGAGGTTGACAGATGATGGGTGCTGCTTGGTTTTGGGTGAGGGAGGTATCAGTAAGGCACGGGCCAGGAGGCAGGAGTCCAGGGACAAGGCTAAGGCTGGGGTCCCAGAGGAGGATAAGATGCTGATGCTGAGCAGCAATCTACAAGCAGCTAAAGAATCTGAGAGACTTGCACATATGGATACCTGTGTCCTGCCCTCAGGGGCGTTCCCTAAATACTCTGAGAAAGGCTTAGGCTGTGATAGTTACAGAAGGTGGGACTAGCTGGCAGCCAGGTGAATATGCCAGCTCTAAATGATGCCTTTATTTTGCTGCAGGGGGTGGAGAGTGGGAACACATACCAGTAAAGGGCTTGAATCTAAAGCCCTGTATCCAGAACCCTAGGATCCCAGAATTGAGTGCCTGAACTCTGCAATGGAGGTCCTGGTGAGAGGGAGAAAGAAGGAGAAGCACAGGGACTCAGTGGGGGAGGAACCATTCCTATAGCTGAGGAGGGAAGAAGAACGATTACAAAAGGGCCCTGAAGGAAGGAGCTGGCCAGGAGATGTCGGAGTGGTTAATCACTATTGGTGGCATCGGTGGGTGAGGCATGCTGGCTGGGGAAAGGTCTTCGTGGTTGACAATGGGGAATGATTTACTGGTTTTCAGATTTCTTGGTCAGACTGCCTAAAAAGACATCTGCAGCCCTGGATCCCATGTTTTCATGAGCTAACCAGCTCTGTGACTTTGCACACAGCGAGTTGTCTTTCTGGCCCTCAGTTCTCTTATCTGTAAAATGTGTGTGATGCTATCACTACCTGGTAGGATCGCCAGGAGCTTAGATAAGATCACACACACAGAGCATGCCAAGCATAGCGTATTGTGTCAGTGTTTGCTGCTTGGCTTTTATTATTACTCTTTTGCCACCATTGCAAGTGGTAATCTTTGAGGTTCAGTTTTAACAGGATGCCAGAGGTCTGTATTAGGGTTTATGAATTATATTTGGAGTCTGTGACTCAAACACTGCCCAAGTGACATTTCAGGCTCACTAAGTTGACTTGGTGCTTAGCTCTAAGGGCGCCTGAGAAGGCAGCATCGTCCCCATCAAAGAATGTGGCAGTGCTCTGGTCACTGCACCTAATGTACCAGAAGCTGTGTATTCAGTAGGTAGGGGAAAGAGATTCAGGGACCAGGGGCCAGTGGGAGAGGTAGGGGGACTCTTTGGACTGCAGATGTCCCTGAACCACAGTAAGGGTGGACTTTGAGTTCAGAGGACACACAGAGGCACACTCAGTCTGGCCTCACAACCCGCTGCTGGAGTTCCTGTGCCATCCCTGGGCACTGTTCCAGTCATGCCACAGGGTGTCACTCTTGGACTGTGTAATTTATTTGATGACAGCCTTTGCTTACATCAGACTCTTCCTAGTGCCCCATAAAGGGTATGAATACGAATGCATATGAGTTTTTATGGTGTTGGTGTGTGTGTGTGTGTGTGTGTGTGCATGTGTCTGTGCATGCTCAATTTCCCGTATGCTGAGAGAGACAGTCCCCCAGGACTGTCTTCTGAATCACCTTTGATTGGTGCTTTAGATGCATGGCCAAAATACACGGCCAAGGCCTCATGCTTGTCCAAGAACACAAACTGATAAGTTTCCTTTTCATAGTATTTTTAATGCCAGCCACTCAGTTTCACAGTGATGGCAGCTACAAAACTAGCCTGTGAGACTTGCGGCAGACATTTATATTTATTTATTGCCACTTAAGAGCAATTTTATTTGAGTTTCAAAGAAAAGGAACCCAGGGCATGCAAGCTGTAATCTCAACAGCTGCCTAGGGTAGGGGTAGGGAAAGGGAGAGGGTATCATTTAAGCCAGACAGCCACATGGATGTAGGGAGGGGAACTTTAGAGAAAGGAAAGCCAAATCATATGGGAAAGCATGCTTAGAAAAAAGACAGACATAAGAAAGGAAGGTAAACTTTTCTGTCTAGTTTAAAAAGGTGGGCAGACTTAGGAAGGTGCATAGCTGAACCCTGGTATACTTCTGCATAAGGGGCGGGGATTCTGAGAAGGAAAAAGGACAGTATCTCATTAAATGACAAATTCTTCCGCCTAAAAAGTTAACAGAACCTGCCTTTCTTGGAGTACTCCCTGGCCCAACTAGAATGCCAGGCCAGAGGCTGAATTGATTCCTTTGACCAGAAACACTTTTTTTCTTTTTAATCTTTCTTATGGTTTTATTTTGTGTGGAAGAGTGTCTTGCCTGCATGTATGTCTGTGTAACATGTGCATGCATGGTGACTGAGGAGGCCAGAAGGTGGCATTGGATCTTTTGGAACTGGAGTTACAGATGGTTGTGAGCCACCTTATGGGTGGTGGGAATCAAACCTGACCTCCTGGACAAGCATCGAATGCTCTTCACGGCTGAGCCATCTCTGCGGCATCTGGAAGTTTTTTCTGAATGGGCCTTTATCGCTACTCTAACATTTCCTTCTGTGAATGAGTAACCCTAAGATCACGTAGGAACCAGATCAAGGACCAGCGCCCCAAACAATTCTGGCATCTCCAGCCTCTACTAAGAATGATACTGTCAAGAGGTCCAAGGATTTTTTCTGGATTTTAGCTAGAAAAGAAACTGGTTACTTTTCTTTGGAATCTTTTTACCCATTTAGGCAAATTGGCCAATTTTTATTTCCTGTTCTTATTGCTTCCCTCTGAAGAGAGAGCTCCAATTGCCATTATGGAATTTTGTTGACGACAGACCTGTCTTTTTCCTGCTGAATGTGGGTGTTAGGTATAGCAGTGGTCCTATCTAAAAGCTACCCAAAATGCATCAGCTGTTTTATTTGGGTAACTGTCATATGTGGGGAGGAAAGGAAGTCTTTGACTGGTAACTGGAAAGAGATGTGAGAGAGATGTAAAGAGTTTTGGGCATTATAAGTCCTAGTCATGGAACCAGGAGAAGCCAGAGCACAGGTTACTTTTAAAATGGTCTGAACATAAGAACACTGGAATGTCTTGGTGGGCTCATGAGAGACAGCATCTGTCTCATCCATCTAGTGGACTCTCTCTCTCTCTCTCTCTCTCTCTCTCTCTCTCTCTCTCTCTCTCTCTCTCTCTCTCTCTCTCTCTCTCTCTCTCTCTCTCTCCTCCAAGACTGGACTTGAGAGGGATGGATGGATGAACTCAGGGTGATTCCAGGCACTCTGATAGCTGTTGGAGGGGCTAGAATCACAATGTGAGGTCCCTCCAAGATGCCCGAGAGGGGAGAGAGAAAGAGGAGGAGGAGAAGAAAAAAATAACCATCATTCATTTATAGGTTAAAAGGGCCTGTCTTTCTTGGATGAATTGAACCAAAGTCATGAGACAGAGGCAGGTGGATCTCTGTGTTCAGAGTCAGCTTGGCCTACAAAATAGGTTCCAGAATGGCCAGAGTTACATAGTGAGACCCTATCAAAAATTATTTAGTGATAAATAATTGCCTAAATGACATCTCATATGGAGTTAAGCCTAGTGTCTGGTGAGTGTGGTCCCTTGGATTGTTCCTCAGGGAGGAAACAGACCAATCATCTTACTCTTTGTTTATACTTTCCCCGTTGAGTGTTTAAGTCCATGCAGGGGGCCAACGTTAACCACTTTACATTTGACTGTCAAATCCAGTTGAGGATCTGCTTCTCCAGGGTCACCTGGGCTTGGGCCAAGCCTCTGGCTCTTCAACCTTCTTTCTCACCAGTTGTTCCTCTATTCAAGGCTAAGTCAAAGCCTTACTTGGCTGTGGCTTTGCTTGGAAACATGAAGGAACATTTTCTTCCATGCGGACCTCTCTCTTTGCAGACTGGACACTAGTGAGAGCTTACTGAGTGGGGTCTTCACAACCCCCCTGAAAAAGGGAGCAGGTACCTCACATGGCAAACATGTCAACTTTATTTATTGTTTTGTTTTGAGTAAACATTAGGTCCCCATTGTGCTATAGTTCATTGTAACAAAGTGCAACCAACAGGAAGTGCACCCTTAGATACCTAAGCTAAGAAAAGTAAGCAAGACTGATAAACCAGTTGCTCAGGATCAGCAAAAAGAGAGTAGGAGAAAACTCAGAATTTCATAGCGTTAAAATTATGTCTTTTATTTATTGTGTTGTTATCTCATTTACTCTTTATAGCTTTTTTGTTTATAATTCTATTTCTTGTGACATCTACTTTTGCTGATTAAAATTGTACTTTCTATGTAGGTAGGCAGTCTCTTTTCATTTCAGAACTTGTTATTTTACAGTTTTACCAAGACATGAACAGTGCCTATTTGGTGTTGATAGCAGATTAACCCCTGCTGTCTGCAAAAGCTCACTCTTAGGCAGCTACTTCAGTGAAACTCCACACCTGGCAAGCACCGCCAGAGCCCTTGTTTGGATTAAATGCTCTGGGATGATAATTTGTCCAGGCATAGAGTAACATCTTCAGTGTGTGTGTGTGTGTGTGTGTGTGTGTGTGTGTGTGTGTGTGTGTGTGTATGTGTGTAAGTAACAAGAAAAAAATACAAGCACATCATGCTGGGAGCTTTGTCTACTAGTGTTTTCAGAGAAACATGTTTTCTTTTGCTGTCTGTCTTTGTTTTCTGCACTGTTGATTATAACATTTGCCTCAATTATTTTCTTCTTTCTTTGATTTTATTTCAGATGTGTGTATTCTTGTCATTTATTTATATTTCCTTTCTTTTTTTGTTTTTTTGTTTTTTGTTTTGTTTTGTTTTGTTTTTGAGACACAGCCCTGACAGTTCTGGAAAGTACACTGTAGACCAGGTTGACCTTGAACTCAGAGATCTGCCTGTTTCTGTCTCTGGAGTGCTAGGATTAAAGGTGTGCACCACCCCTGCCCAGTCATCGTTTAAATTTATTTTATGTCATTAAATTGAATACTTAAATTGTGGATAGTTAAACCCAAAAGTAAGAGTAAACAAAGAAGCAGATAACTTGGAAAGACCTATCAGAAGTGGATTCCTTGTTAAAAACTTACTTTTATTTGTTTCACTCAGGACTTGGTGTGCTTCTTCAGTTTGAAGACTCATCATGTCTTTCTCCAATTCTGGAAACTTCTCAGTCACTCTCTTTTTGAATATTGCCCCCTCTCAATCTTTTAGTCTCTCTCCTGGCATCTGGGTGGAGGTGTGTTGGACTTACTCTATCATCAGCCTTGCTGAATTAGCTTTTGTTTGTTTTGTTATTGTTGCTGTTTTATCTTATCACCGGAGACCTCATTCTGGGGGGGCTCTTCCGTTTTTTCTAGCTTTTTCCTCTTCTATAACTGAACTTGCCATGTAACTCATCTCTGCCATTCTTAATGTACTCTGCTTTCCACTGACAGAGCTGTGAGTTCCTCTGCAAGCCATCCAGCCTCATTTCTTGTTTCTTTGTTCTGACCGGGCTCACTGTAAGTCAGACTTCAGATGACTGTTGCTTCTGATTTTGCAGTGTTTGTTGACTTCTTTGGGGTCCTGCTGGTTTTCTTTCATTATTTTCACTTCCTGCTTTGCATTTTTTTTTTGTTATGAGAACTATTTTTCAACATTTTAAATGATGGGCCTTGCATGAATCCTGCAGTAAAGAAAACTTCCTTTCCGAAAGGCATCTTTGCATTTGCTCCAGGTCCTGTAACATTGCAATCTCTGTGGTACCTGCATCGCACTCTGAATGCTAGGATCCGACAGGCTTCAGTGGTGCAGGCACTGGGGCCTGATGTTTCTCAGGGCTCACACAGGTGAAAGGTGGGACCAGAATGGCAGGCAGTAAGATGTTTCGAAGTCCTCTGTAAGGAAGCCGCTGTCTTTCTAGACTGTGGGCTTTATGAAGGAACTTATGCCCAGCTCTCTCTTACACCAGGTTCAGGATCAAGAATTTTGGGGTTTTGAAGGATTTGATTTCAAATCACTTGATTCTGAACCTGACTTTATGCATGTATTTGCTGTGTTCTGTGTTCTGATTTGGTTTTAGATTACTTGGTATTGAGCTTGATTTATTTATTTATATATGTACATATATAATATTTATGTATATATATTTATTTATGCATATATATTTGCTGTGTTTTGTGTTCTGTTTATACACAATGATATCTGTGGACATTGAGGTTCAGTGGGCACCTGCTGGGGTTTCTAGGTTTAGAACAAGGAACTGAATAGGCACAATTAGTGGTTGGTAGCAGAAGGAGAAAGATATGCTTTTCAAGGGTGGAAGATGGCCAGAACAGGGGAACATTTTAGGAGCTGAAAGGGTCATGTGATATAAATAGTGAGGCTTTTGCATATATATTTTGGGGAGTCATTTGAACAGGGTGGGCTTTTGGAGTATGCTCTCTGTTAACATGAAGTTTAGAATGAACCACAGGTTGGTCACCTTCAGACACTCCGGAGTACCTGCAGCAGTGGCTCCAGCCAGTTCTAGCTGGCCTTGGCTGAGGGTGTGGGCTGAGAGGTATGTGAGTGAGGGTGTCTGGCTTTCCTCACTGCCAGTTTTGTTTTGTTTTTTTCCCTTGTATTGATTTTGCTACTTTTGCCTAAGGCTTCCCTGACCTTGCTCTCTGTCCTACTCTCCCGCCTCAGTCACATTCTGTAGCCCAGGCTGGCTGGTCTAGAACTCACTATGTAGTCAGGTGTGACCTTGAATTCAGAACGTTTCTGTCTCAGCCTCCCGAGGAGTGCTGGGATTGCAGGGGTAAGCTCGCACGTTGGCTTTAAAGTGATCCTGTTTAGCATGGTCAGCTAAACAGTGGATGTGCTTTGTCAGGCATTTGTAGCTTTCCAAATGACCTCTAACAAGCAAACAAGACCTTACAGGTGGTCACATGTAGGCTGCACTCAGAGCTCTTCTGTTTATGACTGTTTCTCTGCCCTGACCCTCCCTCTGCTCACTCTCTGTCCCTTAGTAATTCCTTTCCTTTCTTAGTAGTGTCTTATAGTGCTGTTCTGTGTTGATGAGTCAAATCTTAACTGTGTAGGGTTCCTTCTGATCACATGGGAGCTTTCTGTTGTTCTTCTAAACAGGCACCATTTGCCCCTGACTTCCTGGAAATACAATAAGGAGAAAGGAACTTTTTATGGTTTCCTTAAATACTAACCATGGAGGCACCAATTCCTGTCACTCCCGTTATAAACTGATGCTACTGGGGTTTGAGGGACAGACTTTCTTTCTCTGGAGAGATGGAATTTCAATAGAAGGGTGCTTCCATCTGCCCTGGACCCACTCACCACCATCCAGCTTCTCTTTCTTCTTCCGCAGTGAAGCACAGATTGCAACCGTGAGGAGCTGATGTCAACCATGGACAAGCCCACTCCTCTAAGCCTCACTACAGCCTTGTGTGGAGAGAGGAAGATGGGGAGACCGAAGCCCAGAGCTAACCTGTGTCTGTTTTCTGCCCCATCCAGGAGCAAGAACTCTGCCTTTTTCAGTGACGAGGAAAGATGTTCTCTCTGGGCTCCGGGAAGTGACAGGAAGGCGGAGTGTTCGGGCTTCTTACGGGCTCTTGCTCACACTGACATCACTTCTGTCTACCGGCTTAGTGAGTGTTACTCCTCAGATCCCAGAGAAAGTTCAGGCTCCTAAAGGCCAGAAAAGAGCCCAGAGCCAGGAAGAGACTCTCTCTACATTCTGTTTGGGAATCTGGGGCTGCAGTCATTATTCACTTGATGGCCTGGTTTATGCTTGGACAACCGAGTTTCCCTGTAGATTTCAGATCTTTCTAGTTTGCACACACTGTGTTATCTAGCAATTGTGACAGATGATAAAACCAACCTGCCTTTACCATGGTGGGCCAGCTGTATTGGCCTTTCATCCCAAGGAAAGGAAGAACTTCCTGAGTCATGGCTAAAGGTCACAGAGTTGATCAGGTTCCAGGTCACAAATCACACAAATAACTTGAAAGAGATCTCAGAGATAATTTCTCCCCTTATTTTATAGATTAGGAAACTGAGGCCCAAAAATATTAGTATGTGAACCGGGATAATTGCTAACCAGGGCAGTCCATTTCATCACTCTGCCCCAGATACAAGATGACCCTGAGTTTCTGGATACATCAGTCTCAGGGGTGGATCTTCCTTGCCTAACATAGTTTTTGGCAATGCTGAATGAATGAATGAATGAGCAAATGAATGGTAACAGTTTCCTTACGATGGGAAAGGCCCAGTGCTTTGTGTGAATGAGTATGGTTACTCTCACTGATAGGGTTCCTTTTCTCCTACCTCTCAGTGACAGTGGCGTGTCTGCTTCTATGCATCTGAGCTAAATGACTGCCATTTCATGGCAATAGTCAGAGATTTTCCACAAGGGACTCTCAGGTCAGTTCCCAGGAAAAGAAGGAATTGGAAACTTTCTTCAAGTATAGGGAGCTTTTGTGAGGAATGGAAACCCCAGATATCAGCACTCAGCCCTAGCAAAACTTTCTCACTGTGGCAGATCTGCCAGGCTCATCCAGGAGTTCAAAGCTCCCATCACCTCCTGGTGGGGGGAGCAGAGCTCCGAACATCACGGAGTACTTGCTCTGGGAGGGCAGCAGTGGCTGATGGTAGACTTGGATCTGTTTACTGTAGGCCCATTGCCTGGAAGATCCAAAAACAGGTCCCAGGAAGCATGTCACTTGTTGTTTAAGAACCAGGAGTCAACTTTTCCTGGCTGTGGACTCTATCTTGTGGTTGTGTAAGCCCTGGCCTCAAGGCAGCCAGTATAGGAACCAGATTATTAGCAAATGCTAGCCGTTTTAGGGCTGATGCCCTGGGAAAAGAGTGCATCTCTGAGTCTTCTCCCATCTTGTGATGAATACAACATGTGCTTTTAGTGTCCTGGTTCCAAGAGAAATGGCCACGTTAAGATGGGTACTTTTCTTTCAACATTAGAGAGTCCAGAGTAGGCAAATAGCTTTCTGAGCTCTTCCAGCTTCAGCTGAGGGGCCTTTTATCCTTTCTAAGTTGCACATTGAAATATTTGCAATGGCAATCCCAGAATCTCTCTCCACAGGAGAGCAGGAAGAGGCTGTGCTTGATGGGGGTAGAGGGTTACTGGTCCCAGGAGGGTTCACTGGTTCGAGGTGTGGGGACTGCACTGTCGCTGCTCCCTCAGGAAAAGGTGTTTCTTCCCTTTAGCAGTTGCTGTCCTGAGGACTGTGTGGCCTTGGCCTCCTCAGGTTCACTATTTGGAGGCTCACGAGTCAAGAACATTCTTTCCTTCCTGGACTCCATGAATCTTCTTGGTTCTTCCCTTGTGTTTTTCTGCTTGTGTGACATTGGATAGCTGCAGTACAAGTCACTTGGCCTTTATGATTGTCTCAGCTCTCTGCATTTTTAGTTTCTCTCTGGGAATATTGACATGCTTATGAACACACCCCTCCCCCCATCTTGCCTTCTTTTCCCTTTAAACACTGCACCTGCGTGTTGACACCAGTCCTAGGACTTGGGCCAACCCCTTGTGCTTTGGTGTGAGCCTCAAGTCTGTATTTGCAGCTTCCACCGCCTTCCCTGGCTCCACGCCTTCTTCATGCTCTACCTACACCTGCGACTAGCTCAAAGTCAAAATATCAAGTTACTTCAGGGAACAAAGCTAGGGGCCTCAGATGCATTTTTGTCCCTTTAAATGAGCACTTAGGGCCCCCAGTCTTGCCACTTGTTGACCCACACAGAACTCCTGTCTGTCAAATGGGTGGATGATGAGTGGGCGGAGTAAAGAAGGAAACGGGAGGGAGAACGGGAAGGAGGCAGGATGGGAAGGGAGAGCAGAAAGGAAGCAGGAGAGATACCTTGCAGCACAGCGTGTTGAAAGTGCCCCATGATTACGGTTCTCTCCAGCTCTGCTATAAAGTAACTGAGAGATTTTGGCCTTGCATCTCTCTAGATTGTCTTAACAAGCCCAGTGCTCACACCTCTTGTTTCCACATTTTCTTCTCTGACCTGCCACCACTGTAGAGTGTGTGAGTTAAATGGGATGATGGAAACTCTAAAGCGGATGTTGAGGGGATAAAGTCTGCCCATTCCTATCCTTCCTTCAACTCAAAAGCTCCTCAAGGGTCAGCAGCGTGGTGACGTGTTCTGACCTAATACCAGGCCTGTCTTTCATCTCTACCTAGGCGAGTTTGAATCCATCCAGAGTCTTCAGAATGATCTGAGGGGTGAGTAGTGATTGTGCTGAGCCCAACCTCTTGTCCTCAGGTCCTAGTTGCAGACACTCAAGAATGCTCAACTCTGCCTATCCTTACAGCATCTCAACCTGAGGGCTTCAAGGAGGCCAGGTCTGGGAGGACCTGGGAGGAGCGACAGACCCTGGGCTCCAGACGTTCCAGCAGCTCTGTGGACTCCAGCCTGGAGGAAGAGCTCCTCTCAGCCTCCTCAGACAGCTATCACCTTCCGGAGCCGGATGACCTTGATGACCCGGAACTGTTCATGGACCTGAGCACTAGTCTAGAAGAGGATGAGGTGGAGCAGTTTGCCCCCATCTTGGCTTTTCTGGATCACGAAGGCTACAGTGACCACTTTAAGAGCCTCTATGATTTCTCCTTCTCTTTCCTCACTTCCTCCTTTTATAGCTTCTCTGAGGAGGATGAGCTAGTGGCCTACCTAGAGACTTCAAGAAAGTGGGCCAAAATGGGCCGCATGATGTGGGCCCATGCCCGACTCTGCTTCCTCCTGGGCCGGCTAAGCATCAGGAAGATCAAACTTTCCCAGGCCAGGGTATACTTTGAAGAGGCCATCCGAGTCCTTGATGGGGCATTTGAGGACCTCTCCCTAGTGTCTGCTCTGTACATCAACTTGGCAGCCATCTACCTGAGGCAGAGACTAAGACATAAAGGCACGACCTTGCTGGAAAAGGCAGGTGCTCTTCTAGCCTGCCTGCCTGACCGTGAGTTCAGTGCCAAGAATGAGCTTGACGTGGTGGCCTATGTGCTGCGCCAAGGGATTGTGGTGGGGAGTAGCCCTCTGGAGGCCAGATCCTGCTTCCTGGCCATCCGATTGCTCCTGAGACTTGGCCGGCATGAGGAGGTTCTGCCATTTGCCGAGCGCCTGCAGATCCTTTCTGGACACCCTCCTGTCTTGGAGGCTACAGCCACCATGTTGAGTTTTCTGTATGACAAGAAGTATCTTCCACATCTTGCAGTGGCCTCTGTTCAGAAACGTGGTCCCCAGAGTGCCCGGGGGATGTCTTTTTCCATTTGCCAGGCTTATTTGGTCCTCCAGAATGCCACTAAGATCCTTGGTGTTCCTTCCTCAAGCTGGGGTGAAGTTTCTGCACTGGCCTGCCCAGTCCTCAGGCAGGCCCTGGCTGCCTGTGAGGAGCAGACTGACTTGAGCACTCAGAGGGTCTTGTGTCTCATCCTATCCAAAATGTACCTCCAGCACAGGTCTCATGAGGGCTCTGTCTACTACCTGAGCCAGGCCCAGGCAGTAGGGAAACTACTGGGTGAGCAAGAAGCCTTTGAATCATCTCTCTGTCTGGCCTGGGTTTATCTCTTAGCCAGGCAGACCAAAAAAGCTCTGGAGATCCTTGAACCGCTACTGTGTTCCTTGAGGGAGACAGAGAGTATGACCCAAAGGGGCGTGATTCATAACCTCCTGGGACTGGCATTTCAAGACGAAGGCCGGACAAGCAGGGCAGCCAAGAGCTATCTCCGAGCTTTGATCAGAGCTCGGGAGATGGGGAATGTGCGAAACCAGGCTGTGTCTATAGCCAATCTTGGCCACTTGACCCTCAAGTCCTGCATGCAGCAGTCAGCCAGGGGTTACCTTCTGCAGGCTGTCCGGCTGTATTCTGAACTCCAAGCCAGCGTGGAGACGGACATGGAATTGATACAAGTGTTACTCTGGTTGGGCCAAGCTCTGGTATCTGGACACCAGCTGTCCCACAGCCGCCTGTGTTATGAAATGGCTCTGCTGTTTGGCTTACGGCATCGACACTTAAACAGTGAGTATGTCCCATGTTGCTGGGAGCACTGGAGAAAAGGATCGGCACATGCTTTGCCCATGTCTCACTCATGTCTCTGCTTTATGTTCAGGTCAGCTTCAGGTCACCAAATCCCTCTGCCATTTCTACAGCTCGGTGTCCCCAAACCCTGATGCATGCATTACATATCATGAACACTGGCTGGCTCTGGCGCAGCAACTCAGGGACCGAGAGATGGAGGGGCGGTTATTGGAGTCCCTCGGGCAGCTTTATCGGAACCTAAATACATCCAGGTGAGTTCCTGCCTTAGGGAGAGATGGTGTTCTTTCTCTCAAGAAGCCAAGTCCAAATGCACATGGTACATGGATGCTGTGATGGGAAACCGTGGGTCCTGTGGCTACCATGCACCACTGTCAGCCGGGGGTTCTGTGGCCTCGGACCAGCTATACCTTGGTTTCCTCTTCAGTCAGAGGAGGATAACAATGGCATTTGTCTTACAATGCCACTGAGAAAAATGAATAAGTTAAAATCCCTGAAATACAGACAGGCTTTGTAATGATTACTTTGTCATTCTTACTTGCGTGTCTTCAAAACAAGCTATCCCGTGACTGGCTGAGAGTGCATGTTTCAAGGGGGGCAGTTATATCGAGGACCATGACTTTTCAGGGGGTCTTCACTACTTGACAACTGGGATTCTAGAAAGTATACAAGTAGATAAATGTCACAAAGCAGGGTGTAAAATTCTATGATTAAAAGAAATGCTTGGTTGCGACTTCATCTTTAAAATGGAACCGGAACTCAGGCGGTCATGTCTACTTTCACCTTGTACAGAGCCTCAGAATGAGCACATGGTAGCAGAAGGGTTACTTGGCACTTAGCTTTGTGGGAAAACTGGATATTAGCACTTGGTTTTATGATCGACCTATTCATGCTTTCTGGAAAACCTCAGTTTTGCAAAAATACGCTCAAAATACATCCAAGCATCCTTTAGACCACTGATACTCCATCTCTTCGTCCATGTGCCTGGCTACCTGCCTGCTGGAGTTCTTTTCCTTCACCAGTCCAGGACCACCAGGGTTCTCCTTTACTCTGGGCAGCCTGCAGTCCTGTCTCTACCAAGCCTTGATGCATTTCATTAAACTCCATAGAGGTCTTAGAACCTTTCATTAACAGATTTGTGTTGTAATACTACATTCACAATTCTGAATGGCTTCTAAAAGAGAGTGAGGGGAGATGTTTTCAGAAAGGCTAGTTTCTGCATTTTAGGCGCTGCCATAGTTAGGGTCTCCATGGCTGAGATGAAACATCTTGACCAAAAGCAAGTTGGGGAGGGAAGGGTTTATTTGGCTCATACTTTCACATTGAAGTCTATCATTGAAGGAAGTCAGGACAGGAACTCAAACAGAGTAGGATCCTGGAGGCAAAAGCTGATGTGGAGGTCATGGAGGAGAACTGCTTATTGGCTTGCTTCCCTTGGCTTGCTCAACCTGCTTTCTTATAGAACCCAGAAGTGGCACCACCCATAATAGGCTGGACCCTCCTTGATCAATCACTAAGTCAGAAATGCCCACACACTTGCCTGCAGACTGGTTTTATAGAGGTATTTTGTTAACTGAGGCACCCTCCTCTCAGATGACTTTAGCTTGTGTCAAGCTGACATAATGCTAGCCAGCACAGGCACCATGGTAACTGTGGGTATGTAGGCAATCAGACAAAGGTTAAGCATACAGGGAACCCTCTCTTTGTGTTTCTCCCCACGTGCTGTTCTGTTCCCCTTTCTCTTACAAAAGTAAGATATCTTCTGAGCCCCCTGCTGCCTTTGCCTATGGTTCCAGGGAAAGAATTTTGACATAGACAGCATGGGATGTGGGGGGAATCAAAGGAAGGCCTGTCCAGCCTGTCCTGCGTTTGTGCCTGAACACCCTAGGAGTCTAGATACCTCTGGACAGACCCCAAAGATGGGTTTCAGTGACATTTTGAGGTGAAATAGTCATATGCATATTGGAACTGGGCTTAAGGAAAGTTAGGTTTTAAACAACTGATGCCCAATGTTAACATGTAATTTCAGTTTCAGATTACTCCTGTTACCAGATCCTACCAGCCACCCTGTGCTCTCAGTTCTGGTTCAGTTGTCAAAAATACTGAGATCCTAAAGGGGTATAGGGAGAGAGAGATACACACACAGAGGGACAGAGACAGAGAGACAGGAAGACAGACAGACAGACAGACAGACAGAGAGAGAGAGAGAGAGAGAGAGAGAGAGAGAGAGAGAGAGAGAGAGAATATATCACGGTTCTTAGATGATGTGGGCGATATAAGAGAGACATGGAGTCAGAACCACAAGAAGCTAGCAGCTACTGGAAGACTGACTAGAATTAGAAGTCTAGAAACCAAGTCCTGCTGTAACCTTATAACACATCCTTAACAAGCTGCTGTCTTGGTTGCTATGTTCATAGACTCAGTTGGAATCAGGAACCTTCCAGCTGAGTCTCAAACTGGCTAACTATACCGATCTGACACTTGTTACAGACAGGTTCCTAGTTCCCCCAAAGAAGCTTCATTTTTTTTTTGAGACAGATTTTTAAAGCCGTGGGCCTTTCAGCTGGGGGGGGCGGTGCATGGAGTCAGAGACCTAAGGCTTTTTGGGTGGGTCTGAAATACTCAAAGTATGGTGAGAGTTCTTGTAGGCAGATGTTGTCGCCAGCGTAGAACTAGGCATTTGCTATGTGCTTATGTGGATAGCTGAGTGGTAACTGAGCTGGTTTACCCATGGGCTCACCACCCTTGTGTTGCAGTCATATGCTTCCCTGCATCCTGATAGTTAAGAGAGAGTAGCGGGTGGGGGGGCAGTTCATTGCCAAAGAGAGGCACTGGCTGGACTGCTCAGGGGTTTTGCAGTATGGAGACAAGCTTTCTAGTGTTTAGTGACAGGATCAGTGGTCAGTGCCATTAATGGACATTGATCTGTCCTATGCAGTGTTAGGTGTAGAACATCATGGACTCCTCCTTAGGGAGCACCCACAAACAAGGAACCAAGTATTAAATATATGCTAGGACACAATGGCTGGTCCCCAAATAAGAATTGTAGATTTTTCTCCCTAAAATTAAATAATTGTTTACATTAAAACATACTTAAACCAGCATTGAAGATTATGCATTGAAAAATAAGGATTTGCTTGCAAGTTCCTATGCTCCAAGTTCTCTAGGTGTTATTTTTTTCAATTTTAAAAATATAAATAAATAGTTCATACATATGAAAGATTATATATCCCACCTCTATATTAAGTTCTAGGTATATTAAATATAATACACATATACCTTAGTTTTATGTGTAGGATTATGATAAAAGGTCTACTATACATTGCAGTATACGTTTTGATTGCATTTTTTTATTTGAAAGTATCACTATGAAATGCCAAGCCAACATTTCTTGAGGCTAAAGTCTGTTTTACTGAAAACATTTTCATACTATATGTTTTGATCATGTTCCCCCCATTCCTTCCAGATTCTGTCTACCTCCCTACTTACCCAATTTTATGTTCTTTGTTCTCTTAAAATAAAAAAATAAAAACCCCAAAGAAGCAAAAACTAATACAAAAAAAACCTCCCAATGAAAGTGAAAAACAAAACAAATAAAAGACCAATAACTCAAAAAACGCCAAAACAAAGCGAAAGGGAACAGATTCCAAAACAAATAACAACAACAACAAAAAGTCCCAAAACCAAAAAGCAACCGAACCAAACCAAACCCAAAACAATGAGCTTGTTTTGTCCTGGCCAACTACTGCTGGGCATAGGACCTGCCCTGCAGTCTAGTTAATATACCCAGTGTGACCATCGGACTCACCTTTTGTCAGTGAATATCATTTGCAGATAGCTTCTTGGTTAGGGTTGGGACTCCTGGGTCCACTTCCTCCTTTCAGTGACGGTAATCTGTCTCCGAGTAAGCATATTACACTATGGGAGCCTTTCTGATGTACCAGATACTATGGTAAGTGATGGGGAGTCCCATAGTCAGGAAATAAAAAAGATCCCACATAGCCTCCACTGTGTGAGAGTGTGTGTTGCTTTTACAGGTCCTCAAGCAGAGGTTATCATTTAGGAACTCTTGATAGCAGCATCACTGACGTTTGACCACATGCAATGCAACTGAGCCTTTGCAGCTTAATTTGCAGCTCAACATACATTTTAGTTTTTCCTTATTCATGTAGCCGTGTTAAGTCTCATTGCTATCAAACTGCCAATCATCTCCAGGGCCTCCTCCTTCAAACCCTGTAACACCAGCAGCAGGAATCCCCAAACCCCACTCATCCTGCACTGGAAATCACAAACTTGCTGTGTCTCCCTGTTGACACTAACTATAAACGGGATCAGTTTTGTGACTGGTTTCCAAGGCTCGTTTATGCCATGTATGTCAGTATTCCATTGTTTAGTTTTTTTTGTTTTTACATTTGTTTGTTTCTGTGTGACATTTGTGTGTGTGTAGATCAGTCCCTTCTGTTCTTCAAGTGGGTCCTGGGGACTGAACTAGGTTGTCAGGGTTGGCAATGAGAGCTTTTATGTGCTGAGCCATCTTGTTGACCTACCCTTTATTTTTATTGCTGAACAATGTTCTGTGGCTATGCCATATTTGTTTATATCATTCCTTAGTTGGTGGATATGTAGGTTATTTCCATTTGTGGCTATGGTAGGTAATGGACATTTGTGAGCAAGTGAACACAGGGTTGTAGTTCTTTTGAGTATGTAACTAGGAGTGGGATTACAAAATTATAAGGTGTTCTTAACCTTATGTTTATTGCTTGGGGAACTCTTTTCCAAAGAGGCTGCACCACTTGCTATCCCTCTGACTAACGTGTAATGACCTCACTGCCCCCCCCCCCCCGTAGCCTCACTGTATTTGCTATTTCATTCTAGCCATCCTAGTGGGGTGGCATGGAATCTCATTTTCCATTGTGGTTTTATTCTGCATTTTCTTAGTGACTAAAGATGTTGAACATCATTTCATGGGTGTTATCTATTCTTTTTGGAGAAATGTTTGCCCAAGTCATTTGTCTATTTTGACATTCAGCTGTGCTATTAATTCTCTAGTATGACTGTTCTCCAGTTTCTTCATGTGGGCACTTAGTGCTATGAACTTTCCTCTCAGCACTGCTTTCAGAGTGTCCCATAAGTTTGCGTATGTTGTATCTTCATTCTCATTGAATTCCAGGAAGTCTTTAATTTCTTTTTTTATTTCTTCCTTTACCCAGGTATGGTGCAATTGTGCATTGTTCAATTTCCATGAGTTTGTATA